CTTCACCGAGTTTTTCTTCCACTTGCAGCTTGGCCACTTAGCTTTAGCAGCAAGTCAAGTGCCCAAGTCTGGTAGCAGAGTGTCAACCCAAAGCTGGGTGTTTTGGCTCATTCTCCAAATCTCATTGTGTTACATCACTGCCACCTATGTCCCTGTGTTTGACCTAGTCTGTGACCCTCAGCCTACTCATCCTAAGATAGTTAGCCATCCTTTCTATCCTTTGGTTTCTTCATTTGTGAGCAGGAAGAGCTAGCCTGTATAGAGAACCCACAAGGACTCTTTCAACTAGAAGACAGTGATTTTTCTGCTATTTTCACCTTTAAAAAACTGCCCCACTGAAGCACTTTGCTGCTTTCTGCTCCTCTGGGGAGAGCAGCCCATGCACATGGAGCGTATATTCCTTTTCCCCATCATCTCATCATTTGCTGCCTCAATTTTTATCTTAAAAGTGCAGGACAGGCTGAGAACCTTAAAAATACTTAAGAGAAACAAAATTATAGGATGTTCCCAGTAATGAAGAGTGCACATTTTGCCTGCACTTTAGGAATTAATAACTCCATTTCCTGCCTGCTCTCATTCATTACAATTTTAATGCTTAAGCACTTACCTCCACTTTTATTACCTATGACTGGCATAAAGTAAAAAAGCATTCATTTCCTAAAAATAGGCTGCTAAAATGAGGTTGTTTTGGCACTACATGCTAGTTGATTTAGTGTGCTTCTTTTTGCAGGGTCATTTATCTTCTCTTTATAACCATTGTTCAGTGAAATCAGTATAGATTTGAATGATGTATAACAAAGTACCAAAGGTCATTTAGGCTTATAATCAGTAAAATTTTAACGAAAAGAAATAATTATTAGATTTGGAAGAGACCTTAAAATTGGGAGGACATTTATTTATTTACTTTACTGATGGAAAGTTAAGTGGCTTGCCCAGAGTGACATGTCACACTGTTAATCAGTTAAAATACTAAATTGAAAATCTAGATTTCTGTAGTCTTGTTCCAGCGTTCCTTCTACTAAAGTCATTCTGGTTCAGATATTCTGAGGTGGCTTTATCCGTTAGCAAAGTGAAACTGCCATAGATCGATAATACAAAGTGCCCTCTTTTCACTTGCTTTACGTGTGCCAATAATTCATCAAGCATTTGATTAGGGAAGATATACCAGCTGTATTTACTTACTGACTTGGTATTACACAGCTCCAGCATAGTTTATGGGTACCTTTTTTTTTGTACTGGGATTAAACCCCCAGGTGCTCTACCACTGAGCTATATCCCCCACCCTTTTTATGTTTTATTTTGAGACACAATCTCACTAAGTTGCTAAGGACCTCGCTAATGACCGAGGCTGCCTTCAAACTTGTTATCTTCCTGCCTCAGCCTTCCAAATTGCTGGGATTACCAATGTGTACCAACATGCCCAGCTAGTTTGTGGATACTCTTAAGGATTTCATACACACAGTTCTTGACCTCAGTACTGTCAGTTTTCTGGAGCCTCCATTTTTTGCAATCACATGTTATAAAAACCAGTCAGAGGTGAATTAGGGAAAATCAATTCAGTTTGTCTTATTATGTGATAAGCAGTCTATTCAAAGTTCTTGAGAGAGAAGGGACTAAAAGCATTCTTCTCAAAACTGAGAGGGCAGGGCTCTGGGGGTATGCTCAGTGATAGAGTGTCTGTGTAACATGCTTAAGGCCCTGAATTCCATCCCCAGCACCAAGCAACAAAACAGAACAAAACAACAACAAACCACACACACACACACATATGCAAAACAAAGAGGGCAAAGTGCCTATTGTTTGCTATCCTGCACTGTTTCCCCCACCTCTGAAAAGAGGAAGAATTAGCAACATATGAGCAAAGATCTCATGGCTCTAGCTGAAGCATTTATGTAGGAAGTATTTATCATTCACCTCTTTGTAGCAGGTGCGGTGCTGGGTGGTGGGGTGTATATTGTTGAATGGAAGAACTTAGTCCTATCCTCCTAAAGCTCTGGGTTTAGCAGAGGTGACTACACAGGTGGTAAAACAGTAAGCAACAAATGTACTGGTTAAGCATCTCTGACCTGGAAATCCAAGTTTGGAAATATTGCAAAACCTGAAACATTCTGAATGCCACAATTGGAAATGACCTTGAATGACAGGTCACAGTCAAAATACAAATGCACTAAAAAATCATATAAATTTACCTTCAGGCCATGTTTATAGCAAACATACATGAATTTTGTGTTTTATCTTGACTTCCAATCCCAAGATAAATATCTCATTATGTAAAAAGCACATATTTCAAAAATCCAAAAACATCCAAAATCTGAAACACTCCTGGTCTCAAGCATTTTGGATAAGGGATGCTCTATCTATATTAAAATAAAAAAAATGACTTGATAGCAAAAGAAAAGCCTAGAGTTCTGTGATAAGGTATAGTGGGAATGGGGCCATCTTGCCTCAAGGTCTGGGAAAGACTCTTGAGGAGTGATATTTAAAAGAAAACCGGAAGGAGCCAGCAGCCCTATAAAGAGCCAGGGTGGTAGACTGAACATTCTGGGAACAGGGGACAAATTGAAAGGTCCTATGGCTAAAAAATAAGGTTTAGGGTTATTTTGGGAACTGAAAGCCTAAGATGACGAAGGGAAAGAGGAACACAAGGTGAGGTTTCGTGGTATGGCTTCTTTTGGGACTGGTGGACCCCCAGGCTGCAACATCTGGGGCTGCTGTAACACTAACCATCACAGAATACCACTTCTCTGGCTAGGCCCCACCTTGGAGAACACCTGGCCCTATGGCCCTGTGGCCCTCATAGTCCTTGAAGCCAATTTGAGAAGTCCCCTGATTGCATCTCACTCATTCCCCCTTACTGCCAGGCGGTATCTGCTGTCTTGTGCTTTTACCCCCAATGTGGGTTGGGCTGGTTCACTGCTTCTCCCACTGTTGTCCTTCCCTGCCACTGGTTTTTGTCTTCCCACAGGCAGCATCTCTGACCTTTCCTGGTCGGTGTTCCAGCATTCTCCAACAGTTGTCTGACTAAAGTAGAATACTTTGCTTATGTAACCAGTTCACAAAGGAGTGTTGACTTTATGTTTCTATTTGTTACAAATGCTCCACTGCTACAAAGCCTCTGTTTCTATTTCAGTCTCTTCTTTGAACTCGGTTTGAAAGGGGTTTGAGAGAAGGGGCTGGGATAGAAAATGAGCTGAGACACACTCCGGGCTCTGTACTTAGAATCTCCCTCTCCTTTTGTGCCCCCCATCCCTGCTTCAGCCTTTTCCCTCTTGTGTAACTTGTGTAGAAACATGTCTTCCTAGAAATGCCCATATTCCCAAATTCCATTTTCTTCCTCCTCAAATTTGAAGATATGAGCTGGGCACTGTGGCACATGCTTGTAATCCCAGCAGTTTGGGAGGCTGAGGCAGGAGGATCTCTAGTTCAAAGCCAGCATCAGCAAATTTGAGGCGCTAAGCAACTCAGTGAGACTCTGCCTCTCAATAAAATACAAAATAGAACTAGGAATGTGGCTCACTGGTTGAGTACCCCTGAGTTCAATCTCCAGTACAAAAAAAAAAAAAAAAAAAAGATATGCCTGGACCTGAGAGTGACCCAACCTCTCAAAGTTAGGATTGTGGCCCTTACCCCAATTTTGGAGCCAAATCATAACTTTGGTATTTTAGAATGGAAATATGGCATGCTATATAGCACCCTGTAGTCAAACAGTATTTCTGTAGCACAACATATAAATATTCATATTCATATGAACACTGTAAATGGTCTCATGTCAATTCAATTTTGCATCTAAATGAATTTGTCACACTTAGAAATGATTTCAGTTTTTAGATTGTTTGGGATTTGAAATTATAGATGAGGGATTATGAACCTTTACCCTCACATATACATACAATAACACAGTACTTTTGAATTTCCCGGAGCTATTATAAACATTCATTTAAAATGAAATATTAGCTCTTCACTCCCTGCCCATTAATCTATCTGAGTTAAGGTGACTTCCGTTCTTTCTCCCTATCTGTGGAGCTTATCATGAGTGAAGTTGGTGGTATGCAAGGGCATATACTGGTTCAGCATCAGTTCTTATCCCAGAACAGCTATACCATCTGGGATGGACAGATGGACATGCCACAGGAAGGCAGCGGGAATCTATAGCAGCTGCTATTCAGAGAGGCGATCACTCTTAAGAAGTCCCTGCAGTTTGGCCACGAGCTTCATTGTGGATGCCTGGCACACAACCTCTGTTCAGTGTGGTGACTTACATGCAGATGGGGGAATAAAACACTCTTTAAAGCCAAAGCTTGAGGGCAACCTTAGGGACATCAGCTGCTACTGACGCTGGCAGCAGAGAAGGACCTCTATGTTCTGATACACTTGATTCTTATGGCCCTTTTAAATGCCTTCTTCCCCAGTATAGAGTGTTAGAGTTAAATGATAGTGAATTTGTATGTTGTTCCTATTAACCCATGTTTCTGTACATACACTTTACAATAAGAAATATAAAGCTGGGTGTGGTGGCACATGCCTGTAATCCTAGCCACACGGGAGGCTGAGGCAGGAGAATTGCAAGTTCAAAGCAGCCTCAGCAACAGCAACTCAGTGAGATCCTGTCTCTAAAAAGAAATACAAAAATAAGAAATACTAAAAAGAAATACAAAAAAAAAGAAATACTAAAAAGAAATACAAAAAAGGGATGGAGAATGTGGCTCAGTGGTTGAGTGCCCTTGGGTTCAATCCCCAGTACCAAAAAAAAAGGAAGAAAAAAAAAATAAGAAAAAGCAGAAAATCAGGTCCGTGCTGGTCAGGCAAGCCTTTTCTTCTTTAAATTCTTCTCAATTTTTTTTCCAACAAGAAAATATACTACTTAATATTCCATCTGTAATCTTAAGCAGAAGTACCCAAAGTAGAAGATGAAATTGGGATGTTTTCAGTGTTCTTAAAATTCTTTGAAAAGTAGTTTGAAAACTTTAATTTTTCGCTCCTCACTATTGTGTACATTCTAGAAAATGAAGAAGTCAAGGAAACGACTTTGCGAGAGCTTAAAATGCTTCGGACTCTCAAACAGGAAAACATTGTGGAGCTGAAGGAAGCTTTTCGTCGGAGGGGGAAATTATACCTGGTGTTTGAATATGTTGAAAAAGTAAGTCATTGATTGCCAGTGTGCAGATTTGCTTGTCCATTTCAGATATTATCGAAGAAAGTATTATTTAGTATAACTTGTCAATGTACTCATAATCTAAGCCTTGAAAAATGAAAATATTATCCGTAATTATGTCCTGAAATATATTTAAGGATTTCATACAATTTAACAGTACAGAGATAACCTCAAGTTTAAATAATATACCAGTTTGTATTCTGACATCTTAGAATCTATGGTCTAACAACTTATTTTTAGACTTGATTTATTTTAATTAAACCTAAACAGAGTTTCTGAAAGAGAAACAGGAGAATTAACAAATGATGGTCCTGGTGATAGAGGTATGTGTCAGATCCCACCACGCCTGGATATACTGGGAGCTTGAATCAGACCTGGGGTAGTAAATGTGCAAAGCAGCCTTTTGTGAACTGCCAGTGCTTGGGCTTTATGTGAGGGAAGGGGGCCTGCCAGGAAGCCTAAGGTGAGGCTTGAGGCAGTAGATGAAACCAGGAGTGAGGAATTGGAAGCATGGGAAAAAAGAGGAAAGGCAGGTGTTGTTTGAATTGTCTGTATACTTGCCTTAGCACTTAAAAAAAGAAAGAAAGAGGGCTGAGGTTGTCGCTCAGTGGTGGAGCAATTGCCTACCATGTGTAAGGCCCTGGGTCAGATCCTCAGTACCACATAAAAATAAATAAATAAATAAATAAAATAAAGGTATTGTGTCCATCTATTAAAAAAAAGAAGAAAGTTATTAGTGACATTTTAAATATTGTGACCTAAAGACAGTGTACACTACAGTAATGTATATTAGGTGCCTTGGAATTTTTGGAGAACAGCTTACCCTCAGGACTTGGTGATGGTCAAAACTTAAATACAATAGTAGAGGAAACATGCCAGAGAAGCCTTTTGGAGGTTTCCTAGATGAATAAATAGGTGGCACTTGCTGATATCCTGATGTTTTCTAATGAAAATTGAAGTTGGAGGAGTTGTTTGCTTTAGGTCAATTCCCAGGTGCTTGTTATCCCATGACAGAGCATCACTGCCATTGTCATTATCAAATTGGAAGCAGTGTTGTCAAGATGACTGTCCAGCAGTGCAACTTTGAATTCATTCAGCCATTACAAAAAATTTTGTGAAATAAACAATATATATATCGTAATTTCATTACTTGCTAGCAAAACTTCAAAAATACTAGATTCTTTGTCATTTTAAGCCACGGCTTTTATGTTTCTTTTCCAAAATCTGTTGGAAGTTTCTTTTTCTGTGTCAATTTAGGTATTCCCCTAAGGTACTTTCCCAAAAAAATAAAACTAGAAGTTGATTTAAAAAAAAAAAAAGGAAAAGTTATAAGAAAAGGATTGCTATGCTAGGATCCCAGGGAAAATCAGATGCTATTTATTTTTTAGTTGTCATACAGTTTGCAGTTTTCACTGCCAAATAATAAAATTTCAACAAATCTAGTATTTCACTATTTTTTTCTGATCTATTCATGGTGTTTGCTCATGATAATGTCACTATAGTAGAACAAACTGAGAAATCACCTCTGTGTATCTGCTTCCCTCCTGGGTGGGTAATTTGGCATGTTTGAGAGCTCTCTCCTGGTAAGTGTCCAAACTGCTACCAGAATTGCAGGCTTCTGATGCTCAGGCCTGGGCCTTTTCCCCTGCCCTATGGTTCTTAAGTGGAAGGTGACCATCACACCTGCTCATTAGTGTCAATGCCTAACAGTTAACAGTGTGTCTCAGGAGGGCAAGGAGAAAGATGCTCTTAAGGGGTGTAGGTAGCAGAGACCCTTGATTATAATATCTTCAACAAAATAACAAATTCAAAAGTAAGCAGTGCAGGACTGGTATGGCAGCTCTGCTCTATAGTTTTAGGAACTCTGGTGGGCTGCTTCTACCCTTTTTGCCCATTCCTGAATATGGCCCTTATCTTTAAGGTTAGAACAGATCTCCAGCTGTCATATGCCATTGGCCAGGGTGTAGTTGCATGGTCACACTGGCTGCTTGGCAGAGAAGAAATGGATTCTTCATTCTGGGCAACTAGGTCTCCAACTGAAAATTTTATGTCTTTGGAGTAAGGCAAGAATAGCTATCAGGGGACAATATCTCTGCCATTAAGGACCTGTTTTAAAAAATTTTATTTTCATTGGTTGATCATTTTATTAAAATAGCAAGTGAATCTGTTATAAGTAGGTATAAGAATAAACACAACTGATAAGTATACGACTTATATGAACAAAATTGTGAGGCTGTATTAGAGCAGTGGTTTTCCATCTTTTGGGGGTGGTGGTGGGGGGGGGACAATGCCAGGGATTGAACCCAGGGCTTCCCACATGCTAGGCAAGCACTCTACTACATCCTCAACCTGTTTTTAAAAATTTGAGACAGGGTCTTACTTGAACTTGTGATTCTCCTGCCTCAGCCTCCCTAGTGGCTGGAATTACTGGCATGTGCCACCACACCTGGCATCCTCAGGACTCCTTTATATACTCTGAAAATTATTGGGAGCCCTCAGTACTTTTTATTTATGTCGGTTTTATCTATTTATGTTTTTCATATTAGAAGGCAAAACTGAGCAATATGGGATTGGGGGTGTGGCTCAGTGATAGAGCTCTTACCTAGCATCCGGAAGGCCCCAGGTTCAATTTCCAGCACCACACACACAAAAATAAAACAAAACAAACAAATAAATAATGATAAACCTGTTAATTTTGACATAAATAAATGTGTATGTCAGTCATTCTTTCAAGTAAGATATGGTCTTACACACACACACACACAAATAAACCAACTATTAATAAACCAGCTTGCGTCTCATCTCAATCACCCAAGCACTTTGCCTTAAGACAGTCATGGTCTATGGTCCAGATGGTACATATGCAGCAGAAGAGCTCTATGTGCGTTCTTCTTTCTCTTGTAAAAACTTAGATATATACTCTTAAGAAACAAAATTTAGTAAATGTAATATTTTTTACTATGTCATCAAGAATATCCTTAACTAAAACTGCTGTTTTGTTCATTATTATTATTATTATTATTTAATGGCAAGAGTTAATTGCATTAAAAAATCCCTTGCCTTGATTCATGCTAAGGTACTAGCAGTTTACACATTATTCATTGTACCATTAGTGTAAATGCCAACACAGGAAAAAGGCACATATCTAAGTGTTACGATCAATATAGTTTGACTTCATGGGCACTCTGCGAAGTCTTACTGTAGATTGCCAGGACACACTCTGAGAATTGCTGTCCTAGGTGATTGCTTACAAACAATAAGGTGCTGTGGGCCTTAACTCCATTGTGGTTTGCAGAAAAAAATGGAGTTTAGTTAACCTGGAAATTCAGTGGAAACTGGCTAAGTGCATGCGTGCAGCCCGGGTTCGATCCTCAGCACCACATACAAAACAAAGATGTTGTGTCCGCCGATAACTAAAAAATAAATATTAAATAAATAAAAATACCTTTAAAAAAAAAAGATTCTACTTAACAAATTGCATGAATTTTAGAATGGTCTTAAGATTTTTGAAGATTGAATTGTTTGGGTCTGTGTGTTTTTACTTCTATAGTATTTTTCTAGCCTATTTTAATTTTTGTACTAAATATATTGATCACTTCAATTTTAGGGATTTTTTTTTTCTTAGTACTGGGGATTGAACCCAGGGGTGCTCTACCATAGAGCCACATCCCCAGTCCTTCTTATTTTTTTCATTTTGAGACAGGTTCTCATCAGATTGCCCAAGCTGACCTCAAACTTGTGATCCTCCTGCCTCAGGTCTCCCAAGTAGCTGGGGTTATGGGCGTGTGCCCACATCTAGCTCTTTTTTCCTTTTAGAATATTGTTCAGGCCAGGCTTGGTAGCGCACACTGGGAGTCTCAGCGACTCATGAAGCTGAGGCAGGAGGATCTCTGTAGTTCAAGACCAGTCTTAGGAACTTAGCAAGACTCTGTCTCAAAAACAAAAAGGGATAGGGTTGTAACTTAGTGCTTACCTAACATGCATAAGACCCTACGTTGAATCCCCAATATTGGGGCAGAGGGGATATTATCCAGATCTTTCCTAGAAATTTTTAAGAGTTGATTCCAATGCAAGTTTCTATTAAAGACATACAGCTTGCTGTGTTAAAATGACTGTTCTCTCTTTTTACATTGTAATGTCATACCTCTACCTTGTATTGTCTTTCCCTTTACATTATTCTAAAATGATGCTTGAAAGTCTTAGTAAAAAGTATATACAGTTATTATTTAAGGCAGTGTAGAGAAGTAAAAATAGAATTTCTCATAAAAGAAAATCTTGACTTAATGTAGTATCCTGATCTACCATGAGCTAAGTTGTAGATGAGATGCAAAACAAAAAAATACATGTTGTGTACTGGATGGATTATCATTCAAGATACTTTCAGAAATTATTAGAACATAATTTCTGGGCCTACCTAATTTTGGAGATTAATATCTTTCTCCAATTTATAGAATATGCTTGAGTTGCTGGAAGAAATGCCAAATGGGGTTCCACCTGAAAAAGTAAAAAGCTATATCTATCAACTAATCAAAGCTATTCACTGGTGCCATAAGAACGATATTGTCCATAGAGGTGAGTATGGAATTTTTGAAATGGAAAGTACTAAAGAAAACATCAAATAAAATTTCAGAATATTTCTATTTAAATGAAATAACATTTTGAAAGCATAGGATATAAGAAGTCATTCATTCTCCAAGTCTACTTTGTTTGGGCATTGTGGTGAGAGCTCTGTTTGTATAACCAGATCTGCTCTGAACTATAGAAACACTGGTGATACAAAAGAATCCATTAAATGCTTAACTTGGAGTGGGAGTGGGGGTGGAGGTAGCAGAGGGAGGATGTCCAGTCTTGTGGTCCAGTCTTTTAGACCAGGTAATGTGAACCCCATTAGAGTCAGGCTTTAAATAACCCCTAAGTTACTGACCTTCTCCCCATTGGCACTCCCCTGTCATTCACTCTTAGTCCAACAATCTTCAGTACATATCTTCACTTCCTGGTTTTCCTTATCCATTAGTGAAAAGTGTTCATTGTCTGCAGGTTGTAGGCATGATCAGCCTTGCATAAAGACCATAATTGTACTTTTATAAACTGTCTTAATTTGTCCTTTACTACCACAAACGGGTGGTTTATACAATAAAAGGGAAATTACTTGCTCAGCATCATCTTTGACTCTGTACCATTTATCTTCTCATGATAATCTCTCTTGCATTGCATAATTTTATAGTACTGGGACACAAATGGATACAAAAATGGGCTAAATGAGCGTGTTTATCAGAAAATGTTGCCATACTTAATTCTTGTCCTTGAATTATTAGATAAACAAATACTACATTTTAATTCACCTATACAAATGCACAAGGATATTACTTTAAAAATAGTCTGACTTTTAAGACTGGCTTAAAGGTTGTATGAAGAATGTCAATTCCTATTATTTCTAGTTTGTTTTCTTACATTTGGCTCTCATAGCAGTTACCCTATCAAGGTTGTCAATGGGATAGAAATGCCATCTAGTGTCTAGGGTAATGATTCTAATAACAGTCTATATATTTTGTTCAATAATATTAATGAGGGGGCTGGAGTTGTGGCTCAGTGGTAGAGTGCCTGCCTGGCATGTGTGAGACACTGGGTTCAATTCTCAGCACCACATATAAATAAATAAAATAAAGGTTTGTCAACAACAAATAAAAATTTTTTTAAAAAAAAGAATATTAATGAGGAACTGAGTTAGCTACATTTCCATCATGAAAATGTGATTTGGTTAAGTGTATAGCTAACTAGTGGCTGTGAATTAACTATAGATACCATGATTCTGAAAACTACAGATTTCACTAGTTTTGCCCTTTCTTCACTTAGACCTATACCATGATACAGATACCAGATACTATATGAGATGCCTCCCAAAGGGAGAATTTAACTGCATTTTCCACAAATTTCTGCTCCTCAATTCCTATCATATCTACAGGAAGTCTATGGGAAAAAATTAGAAATCTTACCTTGACTCATTCAGTATTGCTTCAGCATTAGACATTGGTAATTGTGAACCACACAGAAAAGCTAAAGAGATATGTAAATATAGAAATTATTCCTTTCTTGTGTTTCCCCCCAACCCCTCCAGTAAATATAATGCTGGCTACTTGTGCTCATGTATTTTCTAAGTTATCTTGTGAATGTAAACATTTTCTGATCTATTTCCCTCCAAAAGTTTACATTAATATTTTATGTAGTAAAAATAGTTTCTTGAAATGTGTTGGTCTAGATTCAGTTATTCTTAAACTCCTTGAAGATTCAGTTCATCCCTTTAAGAGTTAAGGTAGGTTGGGGGTGTGGTTTAGTGGTAGAGTACTTGACCAGCATGCTTGGGGCCATGGGTTTGATCCCCAGGACTTCACATCATCATACAAAAAAAGGAGCAAGGGATTGTGGTCTGCATGTTTCTTGAAATTAATTGAAACTTTTAAATACCAGCATGAAATGTGTTACTCTGGTACTCTGGTTTTCACTTCCATGGTTTTCTATTCAAATTACTCTAGATATATCTAATTAGATGTTGTCACCATGATATAATAGTGTCAATCAGCAGAACATAGGAGATTTTTACTAATTGCTTTTTAATCTTGATATTCTAGATATAAAGCCAGAAAATCTCTTAATCAGCCACAATGATGTTCTGAAACTATGCGACTTTGGTAAGTTAAAAAGAAATTGAGTCCTGGTACAGAATTAATTTAGTGTAACATGTAGGTAGCTTTTAAAGGCATATTAAAATTTATCTTTATTTTTTACTTAAATCAGCAGAGCAATATTCTGTTGTTCATTCTGTTGTGTTCAAAATTTGATTGCTGGAGGAGTACTAATCTCTCCTTGCTTTATAGACTATTATCTGCTGTTTTTTAAAAAATTTCAGTATGTAGTATTTTAGTTAATGAGAATTCAAAGCAAATATATGCATGTGTATAGATTAATAAGTCCAGCACCTAATAGCCCCAGAAAAAAAATTTCTTAGAATTATCACTGTGGATTCCTGGTTTGAATAAGCTAAAATATTTAAATATGATAGAAATTGTTATAGGTTTCATCATAACCCCCCAAAATAGAAATTGTTATAGGTTTCATCATAACCACAAAAAATATACATGTGTGTATGTTCACATTGTGCCCATATAATGGTTATGTATCTATATGGTCAAAGCCATTTTTAGAACACTTCGATTTATTTCTGCTCAATGTTCAATGAATGAGACTAGTAACTGATGCGTACTATTTCAGCTCGTACTTGAATGTATAGGGAAGTTTTTTAGTTATACTGTCTCCTAGGAAAAAATTGTGTATTATGTCCCATATAGGTAACTCTGTATTGTGCTGTTAAACACTTAAAATAGTTTAGAAAATTTTGAAATAAAAAATTAGGGTGTTAGGTCCACAGGTCAATTTGAAGTTAAAAATTTACCTAATCTTTTATATATATAATTTGTTTTAGTTGTAGCTGGACACAATACCTTTATTTTGTTTATTTTTATGTGGTGCTGAGGATCAAACCCATTGTCTCACACGTGCTAGGGGAGCGCTGTACTGCTGAGCCATAACCCCAGCCCCAAATTTCACCTAATCTTTCTGTTAAAACATAACAGTTGGATTTTAAATTTTTTTTACATATTCAAATATAACCAAATATAATAACCTCCATATGTAGCTAAGAATATCTCTCTTTATCATAAGTGAGTTAGATTCAATTACATTATTGCATAAATGGATTACACAAATGAGCAATAGTGATTTTTTTTTTTTTTTTTTTGAGTGGTGTACCAGGGATTGAACCCAGGGGCACTCGACCACTGAGCCACATCCCCAGCCCTATTTTGTATTTTATTTAGAGACAGGGTCTCACTGAGTTGCTTTATTAGCACCTTGCTTTTGCTGAGGCTGGCTTTTAACTAGAAATCCTCCTGCCTCAGCCTCCCAGGCCACTAGGATTACAGGCATGTGCCACCACGCCCAGCAGCAATGGAAAATTAAAAATCAGTTTTGTAGAATGACCATTTTGTTCACTGTAGCAATTGGAAGCATGTATAACTGTTTTTACTCAACACTTTCAAAGAGTTTGAACATTATAAACCTGCTTGCCTGAGAAAAAAGGTTTTAATTTTCAACATAATTTATAAGAAATAGTGCAAAGAACTTTGCTCTTTCCCCAATTCTTAAAGAAGTTCTCAAGAAAATGAAAAAGAAATATTGAATACTGTATCTGATTAAGTTTTGATTTTGGCATTTTTAGCATATCCTTAGCAGCATGATTTTTAGGAATGGTACTTAAGTCTGACTTTCTATCTGCAATTGTGATTATTACGTGATACTGGGACTTTTTGCCCCTCATATACAATTTAGTATGCATACATGATTCTATGGGCCACTGATCTCTTTAAGCTCCAAAGTTACTGAAAATCATAAAGCAAATTAACAAAACAAAAGAGGGGTGGGGTTGTAGCTCAGTGATATAGCGCTTGCCTAGCATGAATGAGGCACTGGGTTCGATTCTCAGCCCCACATAAAAATAAATAAGTAAAAATAAAGGTATTGTATCCACTTACGACTAAAAAAATATTTAAAAAAAAAATAGAAATGCATGAGGCTGGGGATGTAGCTCATTGGTAGTATGCACAAAGCCATGGGTTCCATTTCCAGTACTGCCACACATACACCATTTTTCAAAACTGACAGACACCTAAATTTTTACCTCTGATTTTAATGCTTTGGTTTTTGTAACTGTTGATGATAAGCCTATATTATACTTGGTGAGTTAGTGGGATAATTAGTTTCTCTTGTTGCCTCATTTTGTGGCTATACTGTGGCCCCCAAACCTCTTGAAAGAATGTGGGGCAAAAGTAGTAGTCAAGTTTGTGAGGTAATGAAGATACTCCTAACCTGCTTCTCAATCACTAGGAGATGACAGTAATTTTGGCCCGTTTTGTTTCCATCATTGCCAACTGTTAGTTATTTATATAGTGGCTGAAACTGTTCAGATACAATAACTATACAAATATCCCTTTAAGTCCCACATAGCAGAATTAATGACCATAATCCCAGTTTAACTTTGACTTATGGCTCTAATGGAGACTTCATTTTGTTCCTAAGATTTGCATTTTTAGGAGGACTGATTTAAAAGTGTGCTCTGAATGCTTAATAAAGCATGAGATAACTTCAAAAACATGAATTTCTTTAGTATATAGTAAATACATCATATACTTCAATTAACATATGAACACTTTACTAACTTTTTAAAATAACAAGGACACTTATTAATAAACAGCTCATTCAATATATCAGTCATTATATTCTTTTGATGTTGTTTTAAAGTATTACTAGGACTGAAATATTTTGCCAACACAAAGTTATTTATTCTTTCAGGTTTTGCTCGGAATCTATCAGAGGGCAACAATGCTAATTACACAGAGTATGTGGCCACCAGGTGGTATCGATCCCCAGAACTGTTACTTGGGTGAGTTACCTTCTCCAAATACAATGGTCTCTATGCATGTATTGCTCCTTTATCATTGGCTTTGGGATCACCTATGAAAAATAAGAATTTCAGTTAATTAAATATTTGTCAGTTATAGATTCATTATAACAAAGAATCTGTGTTGCTGTAGTATGCTGATTTTAGATCTTTAATGAGGGCTAGAGATGTAACTCAGTGGTAGAGTGCTTGCCTAGCGTCACACAAGGCTCTGGGTTTGACTTCCCAGCACCACAAAAACAAAACAAAACCCACAAAAATGCACCATTTCCTTTGCTCAGGATTCTGGGTGTTAATAATTTGAGTGCAACTCCATAGTTCTCTGCTGGTCTCTCTTTAAATCACTCATCTAGCTACAATTGGCTGGCAGGTTATCTGGAGGCTGATTGTGTGGAGCCTCAGCTGAGACTGATCATCTTTAATCTGTAGGGACTCATCTTTCAGTAGGCTAAGTAGAATAGAAGGAGAATTCCATGTAGCAAGAAGTAAGCAAAGCAAAGGTACTTTCCAAAACCCTGTTTGAATGACTTTTGCCTCATTTGGCCAAAGCCCATTTCATGGCCAACCTCTGATTCAAGGTAAGGAGAAATAAATCCCACCTCTTGATGGAAAAGGTGACAGAGCCACATTATAAACCAGCATGTTTATACAGATGGAAGGAATTATTACAGCAACCTTTGCTAATAATCTTCCACATTAAAATGTAATTGTCTGTAGAGTTTGGCATTCTGGCTTACCTGTTCATTCATTTAACAAATATTTATTGTCTTTTACATCTAGCCACATTGCTAGACACATGGGGTAAATATTGAACCAGTAGCCATTTTCTTCTGAACAGTGTAAATCCTGTTTGATGATACGTAACTATTTTATCACTGCCTTGGTGATTTTTTTTCAGCAATACCTCTTAACATTTCATCTACTTTGTACTCACCCTTCCTTTGTCAATGCCCTATCATTCATCTATTAACCAGAAAAGGATCTTCTGACATGGTTCTCCTTTTCTTTTTAATGCATTTTAACTTTAGAGCCTAAGAGAGGGAGCCCATGATCCTGATCTCCATTACATAGTTTCAGGAATCTTCTACTTACCCTAGTTGTAGTATTTTCTTATTTTCCCTAGATTATATCTCCTTCTTTGAGACCACCCAAGAATGAAGAAAAAAATTCATAATCTAGTAAAATTTGCCATAGTGGTAATGATGACAAATATGCAAATTGTCAGTTATCTCTTTTCTTTAACGTGCTATATATGTCCTGGGGTATATGAGAAATTCTTTTTTTTTTAAGTGCTTTATGATTATACATAGTAGTTGGGTTCATCCCAACAAACTCATACATGCATGGAAATCGATTTCAGTTCATAACCAACCCCCCCCCCACCCCTTCCCTTTTTCCCTCTTGCCCCTCCCCCTTTCTTCTTCCTCTACTAGTTTTCCTTTCACTTGTCTATTAATTTGTGTATTTGATTGGTTCCTTATGTAATCTTAGCCTTCCCTCCCCCTTTCCTTTATTTTACTCTAGTTTCTGCATATGAGAGAAAACATTTGACATTTGAGTTTCTGAGTTTGGCTAATTTCACTTAGCATGATATCTCCATTTCTATCCACTTACCAGCAAGTGCCATAATTTCATTCTTTTTAGTGGCTGAGTAGAACTCCATTGTGTGTGTGTGTGTGTGTGTGTGTGTATCACAATCTCTTAATCCATTCTTCTATTGACAGGCATCTGGGTTGATTCCATAACTTAGCTATTGTGAATTGTGCTGCTGTAAACTTTGATGAGGCTGTATTGCTAGAGTGGGATAGATGGATTATATGGTGATTCCATCCCTAGTTTTTTGAGGAATCTCCAAACTGCTTTCCAGAGTAATTGTCCTAGTTTGCAGTCCCACCCAACAATGTACAATATAGCAATATAAATTTCTGATTTTTTTTCTGAAGAGCATGACTACATGTTTAAATTATTTTCTGAGGGGTTTGTATGAATGTTAACTATTCATTTCCCAGTGTCTACCAACCATCTGGTAGTACTTCTGGATTCATTGCTGACCCAGAACCTATAAGTATTATTGGCATCAGTTTTTGGAAACTTTACTATTTTTTTGAAATCAAAAGCTTGCTTCATCCTGAGAATCAAATGATCATTAGTCACTTTATTATCCCCTCATTTGTGTGGACGTTCTGGATTTCTGTGCTAATTTTTATTCTTGGATTTAGGATTGATATTTCATTCTGCCTGTGTTTCTTCTGTGTACCATTCTGGACTCATTGAATTTACTGGACACTATTTGCCAATGAAAAAAAGAGTATGAAGTAGATCATTCTCAGAAAACTGAGGTTATGTTTAGAGATGCGTGATAGCTACCAAAAGTAGATGGTGATAACGCAACTCATTTGAGCTAAATTGACTAGTTAATCAAGTGATTGTCAAGTACTAGTTGAAGAACTATATTATTTGTGTAAAAATTCCATTGAAATCAGTTGATATTTAGTTTTACATTAAGAATTTTCATTTTTACGTATTCTCAGGGCTTTGTCCTTGACATTCAAAATAGTTCCAGCTGCATAAATTATGCAAATCAGATGACAGAAGGAAAAATAGCTTATTTAGGGTATGTAGAGGTTTTTTAAAGGTTTTTCCATCTTGTACCTAGGATATTTTCTTTCTCTCAAAAAGATATGAAAGAACAATCAGTATTAAAAGATTTAAATGAAGTTTCCTCGTATAGTTCTTAAGTTTTTGTGGAAAGAAATGAAATGTTGCCTTATTGTTGCAGTGATTTGTTACCCTAGAAACATGTTCTGTATAATGTTAACAGTGCTTTGGTTTAAAAGTTTTGATATTAACTGTTAATATCATTGTGGCATTCTAGAATTTTATTTCATTTGTCATATATTTTATTTTGGTTTTCCATTCTTAAAACTTGGATTATTTGCCAGGAATGATTGCATGCACCTGTAATTCCTGCAATTTGAGAGGATCACAAGTTCAAGGCCAGCCTGCGCAACTTAATAAAAGATCCTGTCTCAAAATAAAATAAAAAAGGCTGGGGGGCTGGGATTGTGGCTTAGTGGTGGAGCACTTGCCTAGTATGTGTGTGAGGCACTGGGTTCGATTCTCAGCACCACATATGAATAAATAAATAAAATATAGGTCCATCCAAAAAAAAAAAAAAAAAAAAAGGCTGGGGATGTAGCTCAGTGGTAAAACACCCCTGAGTTCAATCCCCAGTATCAAACAACAAAGAACTTGTATTATATGTGTTTGAAACTAAAATATATACATGGTTTCTTACTTAAACTACCATAAATAATTTGACTTACAGCCATAGATATTGGGTTATAGGTATAGAGCTGTTTGGGGAATGCTTAGATTTTCATGGATAGTTTCTATTTGTAATAGCAACTCTCCTCCTAAAGCACTCTGGTAAACTCAGATCCTAGAAGAGAGCTTTAAACCATTTAAATAAACTAATAATGCTTTTAGGAAGGTAGCTATTAGAAAGCCCTGGATATGTAGAGTACAATTATATTCAAGTAAATAATACAATAGAACTTAGCACCATTTCAGCTATTGGATATTGTGACACTAAGTAATCAAAGGTTAAATAATATTCACTATTTGTTTAAGAAGACACACAAGTCAGTAGTATATTTTAATACACTGGATAAAATATAACTTTTTGACATTTAGAGAGCTAAGGTATAATTTAATTACCTAGAATTTATATTTCTTGGGAGCATTTTATTTCCCAAGTGAGGTGTTTCTCATCAGCCATGTGCACTATATTAGGATTTATTAAGCCATTCATATTCAAGATATACCCAGATATCAAATTAGTGTATGCTGATTAAATTGCTCCTAAACTGACATCTTTATTAATGTAGGTTTATTCACTTGTATTCTGGATTTTTACTTGAATATCCATGATTCCTTATTTTCAGTTGTACTGTTTTCTAGTGGCATTTTAAAATTTCTTAAATACACAAATGTACTTTAAGTCATGAATCTGTTCAAAATAATTTGGAAAGTTTTCAAATATTATATGTCCTCAGTTGTCAAGATAATCTCTCCCTTTGCTTTTTCAGAGCTCCCTATGGGAAGTCTGTAGACATGTGGTCAGTGGGCTGTATTCTTGGGGAGCTTAGTGACGGACAGCCCTTATTTCCTGGAGAAAGCGAAATTGACCAACTTTTTACTATTCAGAAGGTGCTAGGACCACTTCCATCTGAGCAGATGAAGCTCTTCTATAGTAATCCTCGCTTCCACGGGCTCCGGGTAAGAGGTTTTGCTAAAACCCCAAATGGAATCAATACAGCTGTACTTAGTTCATTGTTCATTGCACAGTGGTATGCTAAGCTGTCCTTTGAAAACTGTTCCCTTTCCCATTATAATGTTTATAATCCCCACTATCATATTTTATTTCCGGGTCTTATATAGTATTTGTGAATGCTTTAAAAATGATCAGAATTTGAAAGTAGTAACTGCTAATATTTTTTTCTCATTTATAAATTCTAATTTTTCAAGGTCTTTTTTAGCATATACATTATTATATTCTAAACCTCAATTATCTTAGACTCTTTATTCAAAATATTAAGTATTCCTGAAAGATACAAAATGTATGTATACTTACTACTTACTTGAGCAAACTTGTTTATAGTGATTTGAGGAAGGCCACGAATACTTGCATCCTGCAGATTTAAAGGTTTTTGTTCCAGCAAATATTGCTTGTCCATTGACAGTGAAATATCACATATTCTTTACAAACCCATGTGTTGTCTTAAGCAGCCTTTTCTAAACTTGATAAATTTGTACAGAGCTTGTTTTCTTAGAATATGCCAAAAAGCATCTTAGAAAGTATGAACTTTCCCCAAATAAGGAACACCTACCTTGTAGAGGCACTTCATTGGAGTGGCTAGTGAGTTACAGGCTACCCCTCTCTTCCATCTACCCCAAAAGCAACTTTTTAAGTTTTCAAACATTTTTTGGGCCCACATGTTAGTTGGTGGAAGCTATAAAATAATCTTTCATCACTTCCTTTCTTTCTCTTAAATGCATCATTCTCAAACCATGTTATCTTGCCATTTGTAAAGCACTTCAGTTTTTTTCTTTGACTTCCTAGACCTCAGTTAGTTTCCCTTTGGAGAACACCACTGTTCACACTTGAGTGCCCAACACAACCCCAGCTCCTGCTGGGTTTCTCTTTCATCTCCTTCCTGCTTTCTGTCTCTCTTCCAAATGCGACTGAAGTGCCTCAGGCAAGTTTTTCTCCTTCTATTTTTGCTTTTGTAAGCCAAAAATTAGCCAAATTATGCCATTAATTAGGGTACAAACAGCACACGTGATTTACCAGGTTAGTTCAACAATTATTGAACATTTGTCATACTAGATGTTGAAAACATGACAATAAATAAAACTTGCCCTCAGTCTTGCAGTAAGGGAAATCTATTATATTCACAAATAAAGTTAGTCATATCAAATTTGTTTCACTGAGAATTAATCCATACTCCTTGCCATAGTCTGTGAATCCTTGCCTAATCCATGTCCTCTGGATCCCTGACTTTGTCTTTTTTTTTTTTTTTATTTCCTGACTTTGTCTTAAACCTATCTCCAATCCCCTCTTTCTCCAAATTCTATTTTTCTGTTATTTGGCTTCCATAAACATTCAGAGGTTTTTCCAGGTTCATGAATTTTGGGACCTGTGGCTTCTTTCAGGAAGATTGTTCTTCCCTTGCACAGCCTCTTCTCCTTCCATAAATCTCAACTCAAAGAATGCCTCCTCTCTCTGTCCACCCAATATTCTGTACCCTACCTCATCATTCTCCTCCATAGTATCCTTCTTTCTTTGTCATACCACTTATCACATTATGGTATTATTTCATTTGTTATTTTCTTGATAATTACTAATATCAAGTTCTGTCCCACTAGCATATAAGTTCCTCAAGGACGGACATCATCTGTTATCACTGTAGTTAGTTACAGCATCTAACACAGAAAAGAATATGTCTGGTGGGCCCTCACTAAACATCTGAGTGATCTATGGATCAAATGAACCGGTGCCATCAGCACCCAAGCTCAGTTTTATTTCATTTCTCTTCATCTCCAATGCTTCTTTCACCCTTGTCATTTTTGCCTGAATTATAGACAGTTGGCTCCCAAACTAATCTCTTGAAATTTCTTCACTTAAGTCTTTTCGCATTTCTCAAACTATGCATTTACTTCTATCTCCCTTTTATTTAAAAACCTTTGTAGAATTGCTGATAAAGTTGAAATCTTTAGGGGTTAGCATTAAGGAGCCTCCTAGCATCATCTCCACCCTGTTCCTGCCCCTTGTTCTTAAACTACCTTGAACCTCCCACCATTTTCTTGATATGTGGATTCTGAAATGGCTCATTTCCATTTTTCTGATGTTCCCAACACTTGCCTAGACTCCAACCAAATCTCCTCTGTCCATAAAGCCTCTTCTAGACTATTCTAGGATGAATAGTCTACATAATAGTCTACATAATATATAATATATATAGCGGATACAACATGGTACCTAGCCTTAATACGCTAAAGAATTAAGGATTTCATACTAAAATAATTATGAAACAATACATTTTATAGGAAAGTATAATATATATTACAGAACTGTACTCATTATTTTATTGTACTGCTTTTTAATATATCTCATTATGATTTAGACTGTGATGCATGTCAAACATTCCAGAAAGTTAGAAATCATAGATAAGGATTCATTAGAAAGGACTTTATGGAGGATTTGACATTTTAAGTAGATATTGAAGAATGAATAGCATTTAGATTAGAGAGACCACACAAAGGGTGTATTTTCCTCATTTGTCTGTGGTCCTATTTGTTCACAGACCTCCTTGCTAAACAATCTTACCTGTAAAGTGTTAGGCGGCATTTGACAATGCTGCTTATAAATATTCTTCAGGGAAATTGCTGCTTCCATGGCACTTTGATTTTTATAAGCCTTAAATGTTTACATTTTAGTCTGAAAGTGTTTGCAGTATTTCAACTAAATTAGTTCAGTCTCTTTAGAGGTTTAACAACATCCTTTGAGGGGAAAGTTTTCTTTTATGATATCCCTTGAGAATGTCTGCAATGGAGAGCTGAGCACAGAGAGCCTGTGAACTGCAATTGCCGTGAGCCCCATATACCGGTAACTAAAATCCAGCGTATGATGTGCAATTGGATCCACTTGCATAGAGAATGGGAAATGCAGAAGATGTTGCTCTAACTGTATGCATTATTTGGAAAACAATTGTTGTCTCATAGTTTAGTTCCTAGACTCCGGTGTTAAACTGCTAGTGTTCAAAGCCTGACTCCATATTTATTATTTGAATGAACTCAATAACTTATTTCGCCATCCTGTGCCTCTGTTTCTTCATGTGTAAAATAGTGATAATAGAATAACATTTGATAGGGTTGTTGTGAAGATGAATTATTGGATATAAAATACCCAGTCCAGTGCCTGACATATAGTCAGTGCTCAGTAAAAAGGTATGCTCATTGTATTGAATCCACCAAGTGATTAAGAAAGGAAACAAACTACTGATTAGGTTATTATTTAAACTTCTGTGCTTAAGTTTTAGCTGTCTATTGAATCATCTCATGTTAGAATGGTAGATTTCATTCGAAACATATAATTTTTTTTTAAGTTAGAAGTTTGCTTGGTAATTTTATTATAATAGTTCTAACTTGACTTTCAGAATTGATTTTCTTATCAATGAAAGGTCATTCTGAGAAAAGCAAAGGAGAGGGTATCTGGTATGTAATATAGAAGTAAAATGTTAATCAAAATGTACTGTGCTGGGCAAGGTGGCACGTGCCTGTAATCCCAGTGACTTGAAAGGCTGAGGCAAGAGGATTGCAATTTTAAGGCCAGCCACAGTTACTTAGCAAGACCCTGTTTCGATATTAAGGCAGGGGTAGGCATGTATCTCGGGGGTAAAGCACACCTGGGTTTTATTCCCAGTACCATAATCAATCAATCAGTCAATCAATAAAATATACTGGTACAGGGTCTTTATCATGGCATGACAGGCGTCTCTCTCTTTGGGTTGATATTTAATGTTCCAATAATATCAAAAGGAACTTCTGCTTCTCCATTAGGAGAGATGACTCAGTTTAAAAAGAGTTTAGGTTTGGATCACAGGCCTGGGTGCAAATACTAGTTCTGCTGCTTGTTACTTATGTAACTTTCCTTGAACCAGTTATTTGAACTTTCTGATCATCATTTTCCTCATCTCTAAAGAAAGAATAATAATACCTAAAATGCCTTGCATAGCATCACTTCCCTCAGAAATCAGTTTTAGGTTTTTGCCTGTGAGTCTGTGTTAAGTTCATGTTATTCTTTCCTTCTCTATCTGGGAGGTGCTGTCCTACTTTTCTCTTGTCTTCACTTTTTTTTATTCTTCAAAACATAGTTCAGATATTACCTATGGGTTCTTGCTTCTATAGCCACAAACCACCTTGATCTCTTTTCTCTGAGCTTCCATTAGAATTTATGTTTGCACAGTGTAGCACTGATTGTTTTCCCAATCATATAATAGATTCCTCAAATGCAAGGTTTAGGTCTTACCCATATTCTGCATCTCCTGCCCTGCTGAGCAGAGCGTGCAGATGATGTCATAATCACTCTTTAAATAGCTTGTTTGAATTTTACCCATAATTAGTTCTTCTGTCCATTTATTTTTACGTGTTTAGGGATTTCAGTAGCTTGAAATGCTCTTATATTGGTATAAAGAAGCAAACTAGCCTTCACATTTGGAGGGAGTACATGGCATTGGGCTCTGCCAGTCATATTACCCAGTGCTTCAGCATTCACTCAGATAGTGCCAAGTGCGCGTTAGCACAGGAAAAGGTAGAACATCTAAATAAACTTGACCCCTCCCCTTCATTTTATTAAAAATTGCATTTGTTAATCAAGGCGCCTATGTTTGCCCCCTGCCTCAACTTACAAAAAGGGAGAATTGAAAACAGTTCATTTTAAAAAGACATTTAAAGCAATTACAGTGTGTGCCTGAATTCACTGTTTCTGATTCTGATGGCCTTTCAGGTTCTGGCCTCCTGCTTCCTTTTTCTCCTTTGTAAAACTTAGCTATTTTCAGGAATAAATGCTATGTTCTTGTGAAAAAGCTATAAAAATCTTACATCATATCATATTGTATCCCTCCTGTTAGTCCCCCAATTACCAGCAGTAATTAAGTAGACATTCTGTGTAAACTATTTTAGAACTTATAAAAGGAGACAATACTCTATAAACTGTATAAATAGTTTCAGATTTTATATCTTAGTCAATTTTACATGCTTAAAAGTATTATCTAGATTTATATATCATATTTCACTGTGAAGTTTCCCATTGTTTAACATACAGTCCTGTTAATTCATACCTGAAATACATGGATACCAAAAGTAATATACAAATATGAATTTGCTTGGATGGGTACTAGGCAATAATTTCTCAACTGCTCCCTTCTGCTGTGCTCACAAGCACGTGCACACATGTCCTTCCCCACATGCTGACATTCCTGTTGTGTTATCCTTACAGTTTCCGGCTGTGAACCACCCTCAATCATTGGAGAGAAGATATCTTGGAATTTTAAATAGTGTTTTACTTGACCTAATGAAGGTAGGAGAAACTGATATCTATCTATATGAAAATGTCTTTTGATGTATGGATTCTCTTGTGTCTACATGTGATAATAGCCTGCTTTTGTGAATTAAGTGTTTTGTTAACTAGATGTAAATTGTGAATAATGGGGGACTATTTCACATTAAAAGGCATGTAATTTGTTTAAACTTGCAACAAGTTCTGGTATTATCGTAGTTCATTTAGACAATAGCATGAGATCTCTAACTCGTTTTCCTAAGGCAGAGTAATAAAAATCTTCAGCACTCAGAGCTGATCAGGCATAAGTTTTTAAACAATTGTTAAAATGAATATTGAAGGAAAAGAAATTCTACAATTTCTGTTACATGATATTTAAGGCCTCTCGTAGTTTGTACAGATATAATCAGTGAACCCAGTTCTCCTCCTCTGTGTAACCTCTTATTCTCTCCCAGATAACTCACTCTTTCTGGCTCTTCTTTAGACACTGGCTACTACTGTGGTGTGAATGTTCCTTGTGCTAGCCCCTTGTTCAGAACACTTCCTGCTCTGAACTACTAAAAACATCCTCAGATTTCTCCTACTAGGTTTTTCTTCCATAGTAGACAGGCAGTTAGCCCTCTGAGCAAAAATTATTTTTCTTATTTCCCCAGCTTCTGCTGCAGCCAACAAGTGTATAAACAAGTATTGGTTGTATGATAGTAGACCTTCAAAAAATGCTTGTTAATAGATGAGTTTTATTTTATGCCCATTCAGTCAACTGTCAAAATCAGTGAAGGCTACACTGTGTGTGCATAGAACCTTTAAAAGACTTAGCACAGTTGGAAATTGCTGAGCTGCATTCTTAGAACTTCACTGTGCTTTAAACTATGTTAATCTGTGTTCCAGGGAACACAGTGTAAATAGGTGTGGGGGTGGAGGTGGAGGAGGGAGGTGTGGCATTTGGGAAAGGCCACATACCTTATAACCTTTCTTAGAGATTCACAATGTTCATTAACCTGTAAATGGTTTCAGAAATCTCATGTAAAGAAGCATTGTTGTTTCACTCAACATTTCCCAAATTTAATTAACCACTAAAAACTGTTTTTGTATAAAACTCTAAGGCACTAATGTCCTGAATACAGATTGAGAAATGCTGTTTAAAAAAAAAAAAAACAACCTCCAAGTTCTTTCAGTTTAATTAGGTATAAATTATCACTTATATCAGTTGGGTTTTGTCAATATAATCTTTCACAGTCAATATTTATTAATCAGGGCCTTAATTTGGTAACTTTTAAAGTGTAAATGAGGTAGAAAAATGGAAGTAAATATAATTTCATGTTTTCTGCCTTTTGTCTGTTTTTTAGTTAAAAATAATTGAACTTTTTTGTTAAATCATTGTCAAGTGTAATTACCAGTCATCAGGGTGGTACCTGAATCTGAATAAAAGCAAGTACTGAAAAAAGGTACCACAGACAGAAGTAGAACCATAAGTTAGACATTCTAATTCCTGTTTTTTAAAATGAGTTTATTGTCAAGTTTCTTGAATAGTAAATAGTTTTACTGAAATATACATTCAGAGGTGTTCATATTATGTCTCCACCTCAGATGATTTTTATAATGTTAACATATTCTTATAACCTTACGTAGATTGAGATATAGAAATGTGTTAATACCCTTGAACCCTCCTTATGATCCTTCCTAGGCTTCATGCTCCTGTCCTGCTCTGCCCCCTTCTATCACCAACCATTAACATTGCCTTATTATTATTGAATGGTACATAAATAGAATCCATTCCTTTTGTCTTTTAGCTATTTTTGAAAATGAATTTGAAAAATTAAAAATACCAATTATCCTTTCATGAAGAAATATTCTCTGTGCCATTCCCAAAAGCTGTCTGGATAATTTTGTCTTAGGTAATAGAAGTATCTAAAATGGCCATCTCATCCTGCATCTGTTCATTTCAACCACTTCAATGGGGATAGAAGTCACCAGCATTAATTCAAGCCCTTAACTATTTTAAGAATAGATACAATAATTATGTTGGATCTATTTTATGATGATGATGATGATGGTGATGGTGGTGGTGGTGATGGTGAGGAGGATCATGTTTTTCCTCAAAATGCTGAATTTTAGAAACTATTAACTGGGTAAATTTCATATTTTCCTCATGAAGACCTCATCCTTTCAAGTAATTTGAAAATTAACAGCTCTATTAATAAATACAAATGTAGTTTTTGTATGTACAGTAACTTCTACTTGATAACAATAAATAACACTAATGCTAGTAGATATATATACTTTGAATTTAAAAGACTACTTAAGGGTTGATTTTCCTTTCTTTTTAGCTAGTATCTTAAATGTTGCCATTTTGATGTTAACTGTTGAACTGCGAGTGAGAGCAAATTGTTTTATGTATCCTGACAGTTTTTGTTTGATAATAAGAAAGAAAGAATTGAGATGATTTCAGAGTTGTGTCTGAATCAATATGAATGTAAATCCACTTGCATGTAATCAGAGGTTTGTGTTTCAATAAACAGAATATTTGAGCCTAAAGTGTTCATTTCAGTATATGGTGGAATCAAAAGTCAAACTTTATATGGTGCTAGGTTGAAGGTGCTTGTCTGACTTTTGGGGAGCAAATTTCTTCTTGCTGTTTAATAGTGGGTCACAAAGAGATTAACTATGGGCAAAACCAATAAAAGTGAGCTAGAGATGGATTTGTAAATGCTACAATTCACCCTGCTTCCTTCCTTTGACAGGGAAAAGTAAAGAGCAAATTTTAGTGTGCTGTATTGTATTATGTTAAGCTATGTAGGTAATGTTTCTTTAGCTATTTGCTTAATTTGTAAATAAGAATCTCAGTGATTCACTTTTAAAATCCTGTTCAGTTACTAATATAAACAATATTTGGAAAAAACTTTTAGTTGTAAAGAATCTAATATATACAATATAAAACAAAGGGCCAGTGCCTTAATGAATAAAGAACACTTACAAATAAAGAAGGATAGATTTAGAAAGGGAAAAATAAAAAAACATAAGAATAAACATGTGAAAGCATTCAGCCTCAATAGTAGTCAAAGATGTAATTTAAAACCACTATGAGAAGGTTGGGCGCAGTGGCACACACTTAATCCCAGCAGCTTGGGAGGCTGAGGCAGGAGGATCACTAGTTCAAAGCCAGCCCCAGCAAAAGCGAGGCGCTAAGCAACTCAGTGAGACCCTGTCTTTAAATAAAATAAAAATAGGGTTGGGGATGTGGCTCAGTGGTTGAGTGCCCCTGGTTTCAATCTCTGGTATTCCCCCACCAAAAAAATAAAATAAATAAGTAAAACCACTGTGAGATACTGCCTTTTAAATATATATAATTACTAAAAAAAAGAAAAAAAAGGAAATGCCTGCTATTGATGAGGATGCCAAGAAATTGGTAGATTCCTACAATTGCAGAGATGCCTACAATTTTGAGACACCCTCCTAGGAGGTAATGTGGCAACAAACCAAAAAGAATTTAAAAGTTTGCATACTTAACAGTTCTATCTTCAGGAGTTCATCCTGTGAAAGATTACAATTGTTTGTCTCAGAATTAATTATAATAATGAAAAGTGACCATCATCTAAATGCCCAACAGTAGTAGGCTGTAACTAAATAATGGTATGTTAATATCACAGATTTCTATGTAGTCATTAAAAATGTGGTGTTGGGCTGGGGATGTGGCTCAAGCACGTTCACCTGGCATGCGCGGGGTGCTGGGTTCGATCTTCAGCACCACATAAAAATAAAATAAAGATGTTGTATCCACCGAAAACTAAAAAATAAATATTAAAAAATTCTCTCTCTCTCTCTCTCTTAAAAAAAAAAAAAAAGTGGTAAAGCCGAGGATACAGTTAAGCAGTAGAGTGCTTGCCTAGCATGTACAAGGCCTGTGGTTCAATTCCCAGAACTGCAAAAAAAAAAAGCAAACATATTGTAAGATTATTTGTTGCCACTTTGTTCATAATAATGAAACAAGGAGGCCAGGCACTGTGGCTCAGGCCTATAATGCCTATAATCCCAATGAGTCCGGAGTCTAAGGCAGGAGGATTGCAAATTCAAGGCCAGCCTTGAAATTTAAAGAGACCCTGTCTGAAAATAAAAAGGATTAGGCATGTTGCCCAGGGATAAATCTCTCCTGGGTTTGATCTTAAGTATAAAAAGAAAGAAAAAAAATTTCTAAAACTAAAAATAACAAAACAAGGAAAACAATACAAAAAAGGTACATCCGTAGAGTTAATGTTCCTTACCTATATGAATGAACCCTTATGGTTGTGTCTCAAGGCTGGGTGTTGTAGCACATGCTTGTAATCCCAGTTTAGGCAGGAAGATAGCAAGTTCTACAGCAGCCTCTGGCAACTTAGCAAAATCCTGTCTCCAAATAAAAAATAAAAAGGGATGGGGGTGAAGCTTTGTGGTAGAATGTCCCTGGATTCCGTTTCCAGTACAGAAAAGAAAAGGGGGAAAAATTGTACATCAAGTGGAAAGATTGAAAAGAAACCTAAGTATAAACAGTTGTGTGTATGCTACTACTTGGGTAAAATAAAAGAAATAAATAGAATTGTGTACAGAATATAACTATGGAAGGCTGCACAAGAAACTGATGACCTGCCTCCAGAAATAGGAATTGGATATTTGAGGGAAAGGAAAAAGATGAAGAATGTGAATGTTTATGTATTAAAAAGATTTTGGTTTTAATGGGTAAGTTAAAAAGGGTGCGATATAAAACTTTTGTGTGTAATATGACCCAGATTTTCTAAAAAGGAAATATATATATATGATATTCAGGAAAAGGCTGGAAGGATGTCTACACAGAGGACAACGATGGTGAGATGGTGATTTAGATAGTCTTGTTTTTCCTGAACTGTTTTTACTAGATATTCTGCAATGTTCATGTATTTTCCTTTTCTTTAAAAAAAAAAAGTAATATTTTTATTGTAATTTAAATTTGTAATGTCCAATTCTGAACTTTATTTCCTAAGAATTTACTGAAGTTGGACCCAGCCGACAGATACTTGACAGAACAGTGTTTGAATCACCCTACATTTCAAACCCAGAGACTTTTGGATCGGTCCCCTTCAAGGTCAGCCAAAAGGAAACCTTATCATGTGGAAAGCAGCACTTTGTCTAATAGGTAAATATTCCCTTTTAAGGAAATACAGATGCAGTGTTGGTCTTACAAGTAGGTGGAAGAGGTGGCTGCTAAAATTATGCACTTAGAGAAAAGAAGGAAAGCCCTCTCTATTCAAAAATATCTTCCTTATGCTTATTACATGATTCAGAACTATAATTAAGGAGTTGTGTGGGTCTTAAAGTCTTTCTTATCTTTAACAAGTATATTATGGAAATCTATACATTCTCTGGGAAAGGTAGCATTGAGTTAGCAACTCAGGGGGTTTCCACCTAGAAGATTCTGTATAAATAGCACCCTGGGGTGATACCTAGAGGAAGAAGGATGGGTGGGGGCCCAGGAATTCCTGGAAGGAAAGGAGGATATCAAACATGTGGGTGGGCCCAGACCCTAGAACAGTCTTTGCAACTGAACCAAGTAAGCTGACTCTTTAGAAGGGTCTTGTGTTTTTGTTCCTGTCTTTTAATTGTTGAAAAATTATTTTTTCATAAAAATAAAGCCAATGACTTCAAAAATAAAAGTAAAGTCTGCGATTAAAAGTGGTACTTTTTAGGGTTGGAGTTGTGGCTCAGCAGTAGAGCACTTGCCTCATATGTGTGAGGCACTGGGTTCGACTCCTAGCACCACATATAAATAAGCAAATAAAATAAAGGTCCATCAACAACTAAAAAATATTTTTTTTTAAAAAGTACTTTTTAAATGCAATTTTTCAAATACACACACACACACACACACACACACACACACACACACACCCCTCCCCCTGGAATTAGATCCGTCAGGTTGTCTTTTTAGACCTGATATCCCCCAATTCTGCTGGCTGCATTTACAGGAGGAGAGAGAGAGTAGCCAGTCTCCGTGTATCTTCCAGAAGCTGATCTTGGCATCTGGGATTATTAGATTTTGAAAGATATAGTTTCTTTCATTAACTACTAGAAACAGATGCCCAGCATGTGCAAGGCCCTGGGTTTGATCCCCAGTACTGCAAAGAGAAAACAATAATTCTTAATATGAGGCCTTTTTAAAAAAAAAATTAAACCCTCCCCCCAATTTTTCTTCCACATAGAGCATTTTTTAAAAATATTTATTTTTTTTAGTTTTATTTAGGCGGATACAATATCTTTATTATTATTATTTTATTTTTTGATTTTATGTGGTGTTGAGGATCGAACCCAGCGCCCCACGCATGCCAGGCAAGCACGCTACCACTTGAGCCACATCCCCAGCCTGAGCATTTGTTTTTAATAGACTGGAGATTTGAAGGCTCAAGATTTGGTACTTTAAGGTCTGGGAGGACATTCATCAATTGGTGATAACCATTTGTCCTATATTTGCTCTGCTTAAGTACAATCATGTGATTGTATCTCAGAACTGTTTACTCTTCTTTAAATGACTGATTTCAGTTGTTTCCCCTTGCATCTTACAGACCATTCTTAGCTCGTTTGTTGTTTGCTTCCATGAGATTTTAGTATACTAAGTAAGGAATAGTAGTCATCATCTGGTTTCTCCTTTGCATTTGGCAGGTTCAGATTATTTCTGTGTCTTCTCTGGGGTCACTCTCAATTCAGGTTCTTTTGTTTCCTTTATACCTGAATTGTCTACAGTGTACATTTACAAAGAAAATTTCCTAATTATATAAAGTACAGTAGACTGATGATAAATTTGTGATTTGTGCCATAGACATTAGTAGTGTAACCATATTTGGAAGGGGCCTGTGTCATTTGTCTTGTAGTGACTTACTTGAGAGAGTTCTTGGAGTTAACCTCAGTGGGGCTGAGGCTGTCCTTGGGAATCCTCTTTAAGTGTCTTTTAAGGAGGTGTTTGCAGGAGGTTCAGAGGAGATGATTTGTATGAATCTTTGAGGAATCCTCCCAAATCCTCTTTTGAAGTATATGACATTAGAAAATAAGTACATAGATATTTCTGAAAGAGTTTATTTCCAGGTCTTGACACTCTGTTGAATATATTAAAGAAAAAGTCCTAAATGGTTTCTGTTAATAATCCTACCTCATCTTAGGGCTTTCTTCCCATACTTGTCTGTAGACCATACTTACTCCACGGAATAAGTAGTGTTCTTGTCAGGAACACTAATTCTAGCTTGGATCTCATCACAGACCGTGGCTCCTTTGGACTTCTCAGGGTATTTTCCACTCACAATCACTATATCCATTGGTTGCTACTTACATGTTCCGCTGCCCTATCCCTGGAAGCACATACACTCTCACATACCCTGTCTTCCAAGTTCTTTTCTCTGTAGGCAGCAATGGACTCGGGCATTTCCCAGTCCCCTGCCTGTCTCCTTGGGGCTCTCCTTAAATTCATTATCAGAGGAAAAACTTCCGATTGCATGATGGTGCTTCAGCATGTCCTTGCTCCTCTCTCACTGGTTCTGCATTGCCAATGTTCCCCTAATAATGTAGCTTTGTGCCTTTGTGTTTCCTTTTAAAACTTATTTTACATAATATACTAACCAACCAACCATCCATCCATCCATCCATCCATCCATCCTGCCAATCATTTAAGAGCAGTTTATATATAAAATCTCCTTCTGTGGTTGGCAGTTTAAAACAGATTCTTTACAGTTGTATGTCAAAGAGATCTATGGAATTTTCAAAGCTGTATTTTATTGTTATGCTTTGGCAGAGCTCCAATTTGAAGATAATATGATGCCCTTTCTATATAGGAATTATACTATGTACAATTAATTGCTTCCAATTAATCAGAATAGCGATTTAGACTCTTTGTACATTCATGGAAAAACCTAAAACTTTGACAAATGTTTCTGCCTTAACTTTATAGCCTTTCTTTTCAGTTAGAAATTATATCTTATGTTGCTGTGAATATGTATAACATCCCATGTTGAATTGTGCTCAACATCAATAATAGTGATTCTAGCAGTTCCAGAAGCTGACAGAAGCTCTAGCAGCTGTCTTTATTGTTCTCTGTCCCCTTCTGGTCCTTTTTTAGGCTTGAGACATTTCCCAATATCTGCATGTTTTATCTTTCTGCCATTACTCTCTCTAGGCCTGAAGGAGAGAGAGAGGAAATAGGGTTCCAAGGCCTAGTGACAGCCGGAGCTTGGCAGGAGGAGCTACCCTGCAGAAGCTGTCATCTTGAGGGAGGGACACAGCTAGGATCTGAGTCAGGGCATCACTGCCAGGAAGGAGCAAGGAAGACCTCCCCTGGCTTCTTTCTCCTCTGGTCTTGTGATACTTTCCCCTGCTAAGCCCTATTGGAAGGTCGCCAGTTTGCAAGCCTAGGGAAACAGTCGGGGCCCAGGACCAGCCAGAGGAGTGAAGAACAGATTGGTAACTGGATAAATAATAAATAACCAACACACTTAGATCTATTCATGTATAAGACTGTCTTATCATTTTTGGGTTTTTGAAAAGTCACTGAGATATTTTAGTTAGCAAGATTAAGTTGACAACTCTAATGGTTTTAAAGCCTGATGCCTTTAGGATACAGGGACTCTCCTTTATTGATCTGTGTCTAGATTTTAATGACATTATTCAACAGAAAGTAAAACTTAACTCTCCTATCTTCCTGATTTCTTTCTAGGTCTGAGATTTGCCATTTGGTCAACTCAAATTTAAGTGTCCTTATTTAACGCTGTAATTCGTGTGACCTTACTGGGAGAGATTAGTGAGTGCATTTAGAAGATTAACTTTTCACACTATTATAGGCTTGTTTAATATAAGATTTTCCTTTTTAATGCTCTCAGATTTCTGCTGGGGAATACCATCTGAAAAATATGATAGAAAGGGCTAAGGTTGTGGTTCAGTGGTAGAGCGCTCGCCTAGTGTGTGCAAGGCCATGAGGCCCTGGGTTTGATCCTCAGTACCACATAAAATAATAAAAAGAAAGGCATTGTGTCCACCTACAACTAAAAGAATTAAAATAAATTTAAAAAAATATGATAGGAAAAGGGCCCTTACATTTGATGCCTGAACATGCAGATTCTTACAGGGAAAATTAGAAGGCACAGTTTCACAGGTTAGCATTCTACATTAATTTAAAAAAAAAAAAAAAGATTCGCCAGAATCTTCTGGTGAGCATGTAATGGGAACAAAACTTTCCCCAATCAAATTATCTTTAGCAATAGTGATATTTACAACATTTTCTGAATACATAGTAAAAAGAAAATTGTGTAATTCATTCATTTTGAAACATTCTAACCTATCCCAAGCCCCTATCAGGTCCTTTAAAACAGTTACTTAATAAATAAAATTAAACTTGTTATGGTGTTACTTTCAGGTTTTAGTTAGAGGTCAAGGTTTTCCTTTGGATTGATAGTTTGTATTTTAAGCCAAGTAGGAAATGAAGCTTTGAGTCAGTTTGGAGTAACAACATGTAAAATGAAGAGACTAAATTGTATCCTTTGATAAGCAGTTAACATTTCCAGATTCCTAGGATCCAGTATAGGCTTCTTATTTAGCCAACACAAAGGTATCTGAACAGTTAGTGACTCACTCACTCCTGTCTTGTGTACAAGGAGATTGCCAAAGAGCCCTAAGTAATTGCCTCTTCTCCAAAACATAAACACTAACAAACCTCACTGAGCAGTTTACATTTCTTTTTAGAGTGTCATTTTCTTTTAATGAGTACATTGCTGGAATTCTCATTCTTCAACTCTGCAAGTTAAAGACTAAAGAGATATTGGTGTCTGTGTGCTATGAGTATGTATTTCTGATGCAAGCTACATGTTTACAAACAAAAATCAAGTTCAGAGAACACAGTAACCTTCAAGTCTTACGTGTTGCCTTCTGACATTCAAGCAGATAAAAGAGTGATAGGGAGTCTGTCTACATCTCAGCTTTCTTCTCCTTAGCAGATATTCTATAATGAACACTCATAGCAGCCAACAGAGTGAAAGCATGTTTTACCAGATTATCAGTTAGAAACTGTGTTGGCAGCAAGTTAGTTGAGCAGTTACAGATGCCATAATAACTTCATCAGGACTAGTGCTTTGTTGCAGAGTGAATTAGTCTGAGGGACTTACTTCTTATCGATAGGTTCCTTGTTATTGGTAAGCACATGTTTGAGAGAGTTAATGTTTTTAATCACTGAGGTGTTTTAAATATGTGTTCTTTTCTTTCTTTTTTTCTTTTTTAATGTGATACTTTGTGTGTGCCAGCTATTGAAGGAAACCAATGTACCTCTTTTGTTTTTAACATAGAAACCAAGCCAGCAAAGGTGCTGCTTTACAGTCTCACCATAGGTCCAACAGCAAGGACATTCAGAACTTAAGCGTGGGTCTACCCCGGGCTGACGAAGGCCTTCCTGCCAATGAAAGCTTCCTGAATGGAAACCTTGCTGGAGCTACTCTTAGTCCGATGCACACCAAAACCTACCAAGCAAGCACCCAGCCTGGGTCTGCCAGCAAAGATCTCACCAACAACAACATACCACATCTTCTCAGTCCAAAAGAAGCCAAGTCCAAAACAGAGTTTGACTTTAATATTGATCCGAAGCCTTCAGAAGGCCCAGGCACAAAGTACCTCAAGTCCAGCAGCAGATCTCAACAGAACCGGCACTCATTCATGGAAAGCTCTCAGAGCAAAGCCGGGACACTGCAGCCTAGTGAAAAGCAGAGTCGGCACAGCTACATTGACACCATTCCCCAGTCCTCCAGGAGTCCCTCCTACAGGACCAAGGCCAAAAGCCATGGGGCATTGAGTGACTCCAAATCTGTGAGCAACCTTTCTGAAACCAGGGCTCAAATCACAGATACCAATACCAGTAGGTACTTCCCATCCAGCTGCTTGGACTTGAACTCTCCCACCAGCCCAACTCCCACCAGGCACAGTGACACGAGAACTTTACTCAGCCCTTCAGGGAGAAATAATCGAAATGAGGGCACTCTGGACTCACGCAGAACCACAACTAGGCATTCCAAAACAATGGAGGAGTTGAAGCTGCCCGAACACATGGACAGCAGCCATTCCCATTCGCTGTCTGCACCTCATGAGTCCTTCTCTTATGGGCTAGGCTATACCAGCCCCTTCTCTTCTCAACAGCGTCCTCATAGGCATTCCATGTATGTGACCCGGGACAAAGTGAGAGCCAAAGGCTTGGACGGAAGCTTGAGCATAGGGCAAGGGATGGCGGCCAGAGCCAACAGCCTACAACTCTTATCACCTCAGGTACAGCTCAGCACCTTGACCCAGTCTGGTGGCTCATCATGGGAAAAGGGGGTACAAGGGATGCTTTCGGGGTCAGTCTGAGATTTTACCTACTGTAGGAGGCCATGCTTTCTTTGGTAGAGTGAATACAAAGAAGCAATACTGGACTGTTGTGTTAAAAAAAAAATTATATCAACTGTTGAGTACTCAAAAGAATGTAAAAGTTTGTTTTTAGTAATGTTTCTTTTCTTAAATGTTCCCTTCTGGCATATTTTGTTGAAAGAATCCTATTTTGATTTATTACAGAACTCATCAGCTATATGGGTTAGCTTTTAGTTTTCTCAATTCAGTGTGAATTCATGGGTATTTTCTGTAATCGGTCTAAACCACATTTGCTTAAATCAAACCTTTTTTCTAAGACCTTCTTCAATATCTTTACTGAATTTAAAAGTCTTTAATTTATCCAGAACTACAGATAAACTTAACTTCAGGCCAGGATAAATGTTAATTTTCGGACTTTATGGGTTGTGTCTAAATCTTCAGGCAATAATTTTAGCATAATGCTTTTCCATCTTATTCATCATCAGACTCTAGAACTGAGACTAACCTGCTTAAAGAAGTAACATTCCTATAATAGAACACATTCTTAAATCATATTTTTATGATTTCATGTATAAAGCACTGTGCCCAGTGCCTGGCACAGGGCAAGTGTCTAACAAACTTTAGCCATTCCTGCTGCTTCTTTGTGATGGTGGGAGCTGTTACTCAGACAGTGAACATCATCTTGGTGCTGGTTGTTCCCAGGTACTCCAGAGAGTCCCAAATAGAGTTCTTGCCCTTGAGAAACTAGCTTTTCTCAGGAAAGATTAAATTATACATGCTGACAATGAAATAATTAAGGTATAATTAAGGCCTACGTTCACATGGCACTGGCTAGGAGTAGGATTGAGAACAAGGAAAGATCGCTGTGAGCAGCAGCAGTCAGAAATGGCTTTTGGGGGCAGGTTTGCTCTGGTGAGGATATAGACAGGTGCTGAGTGGTTGAAGAGTGAATATGTGCTCAGGCACCATGAGAGGCCCTAGTTAGAAAGAGGAGAATGACAGGGTCGCTGTCCTCTTAGAGTTTGTGGGCTAGCAGGGATCACACTTGCCAACAGATTAGTCACTCTGATGCTGTGGGGTCGAGTTCCAGCTGCTGTACCAGAGACACACATGTGTTCCAAAGGGAGAGGAAGCAGTGTGGCAGTCTAGGCAGGGCAGTGGGAGGCTCCCCAAGGAGGCAGCATCTGAGCAGAGTCCTCCAAGAGGGTTAGGATTTCATTTGGGGATGAAAGTGAGGGCAACAGCAGGAAAGGGGCTTGAAAGAAGCGAAGAAGAAGAAAAACATTCCAAGGGGACAGAGGGTGACAGAGACCTGACATAGCATAGTGTGCTGCAGGGATTGCAACTGGCTTCATGTTCCTGGAGGGGAAAATGCAAGAATTGGAGTGGCTTTTGCAGTCATGCACACATGAAGAGAGTGTGTTCAGGACTGAGTGAATGCCAGTGGGAAAACAGTATGGATGTTAATAACTGCTCAGAAGTAGAAACAACTGGTCTTTCAAGTTGCAGGGTTGAGTATAGGGAAATGGAAGCTTGAAGGTTTCTTTCCTAGGCGTTCCTTTCCTTTTCCCAGTGGGAGAGGGGATTTTTGCAGCCCATTAAGTCACTACCTTCATCTCACAGAGACTCAGAGAAGGTAGGTGAGTCGCCCAAGTTTACCCAACTAGAGCAAGGTGGATCCTGGGATTCTGAGACAGTCTTCAGGTCCCCAGGTATGCTCTAAGAAGCTGGAAAGGCCAGATGAGGGGAGGGCATGAGGTACCAGTTTGCAGAGGCCATAAATGGAGTCACAGGAATGGTCAGAGGAGCCCTGAGGAGTTGCTGTAGAGAGAGAAGAGAACTTCAAGAACATGGAAAGATCTCTAGGACCCACCTGCCCATAGACATGAGATGGAGGTCAAAACCAGGTAAAGTGTGCTGGCAGTAAGCATAGTATCAGAGAAGTAAGGAAAAAAAAAAAAAAAGATGGTTTCGCTTGGGAAAAGGACAAATGATTGGCTCTTGGTGAATTCAGGAAAAAAAAAAAAAATGATTTTTGTGAATGTGTTTGTCCTAAGCTAATTATAAGCAATTAGTGTGGGCTAAGTACAGATCCAACTGTTACTGAAGTCCAGTTCAGGAGGTACAGAACCAAGCTGCAGCAAAGTACACATTTAAAGGAGCAAAGGTGGCAGAAGGCTTGAAAGGTAATGAAAGCTGTGAATGAATCATAGGAATCATGCAAAGTATGTGACCACTTTAGGTTAGACACAAAAAAATTGTTTTCTAAAATATTTTTCTAGAGGCCCTTGTCAGCAGCATAGGTGGTAAGAGTCAAATAAGATTGTGTCACAAAGCAGAAAGAAGAAAGGCAGCACTGTGGAAATTCTTGCCCAGAGTCCTCCAAATACCCCAGAGAGTGAGGGGCAGAAAAACAGAATCATATTTTAGATTTTATTTTATTAATATTTATTTTTTAGTTTTAGGTGAACACAATATCTTTATTTTACATTTATGTGGTGCTGAGGATCGAGCCCAGTGCCTCATGCATGCTAGGCAAGCACTTGACCACTGAGCCACAACCCCAGCCCCCATATTTTAGATTTTAAATAAAACATTTTTTATATCTCACCTAGGCTTGAGCTAATACTCTTTCTGTGCCTTAATATACACCTATATGATTCAACTAACTCCTCCTAATGAGCTGGTAATGCATTCCTTAATAGTTTTTTCTAAAGTGTAGAAAATGTGAAAATTGTCCCCCTTGGGTACCATTGTAGATCAAGTGCTGTGTTGAGGCTGTGACTCATTTTTTTGAGAGAGCTAGGTAGTAATAGCTTCTCCAGAAAGGGGCACTGTCATCATTATGGCTGAGAAATACAGAGAACCTAAGTGCTGTTATCCTGGAGACAAGAAGAAAATTTAAAGCACATAGACTATGGGACTTTCAAGACAAAAATTAATAAGAGGACTTATTCCTTGATTCATTCAAGAAGCATTTATTTTCATTTGAATTGGCTATATGAGTTCTTTCTGAAAAATAATTTTGGTTCTGGACAGTTCTTTTTAGAGAACTCAGCCTAAAATCAGCTAGAGGACTTTTGGATTGACTAATAGACAACCAGAGTGCTGCTCAGAACCATGACATCTAGATATTAGAAAGAGGGTTTTTTTTTTTAATAATTAATTGGACTATTTTCAGATTAATTTATTCCTTGCTTGCCTTAACTTTAATGAGAATTTCACTTTCCATCTGTTGAAATTTGTTCAGCTTATTTTATATTCATCAGATGATTCACTCTTTCCTGGGACAATTTATGTTTTAGCCAACATTTTTTTAATTTTAGCCGGTTAAGGTACTAGTTATACTAGGCTAGGTGTAGTGTCACGCACTTGTAATCCCATCTACTTGGGAGGCTGAGGCAGGAGGATTACAATTTCGAGGCCAACCTAGGCAATTTAGCAAGACCCTTTCTCAAAATATAAAGGGCTAAGGATGTAGCTTAGGGGTAGGGCACCCCTGGATTTAGTCCCCAGTTTACTAAATAAAGACCATGTTGATTTTCATCTGTAGGAATAGGATGCTCGTATAAATCTTTTTGAATTTGACTTTCAGCCTGGAGAACAGCTCCCTCCAGAGATGACTGTGGCGAGACCTTCTGTCAAAGAGTCCTCCAGAGAAGGCACCTCTTCATTCCACACTCGTCAAAAGTCTGAGGTCTGAATTCTTCCGAGTTGCTATGTTTTACTATAGGATGGTCTGTACAGATTGTTCACTCGGCGTCATTACAGCCTAGCTGGTAAACTTTATTCATACCCAACCTCCCACAAATAAGTTAGACTGCCTTCTAAAGGAAGCCATTTTCCTCATGGCATTGTCTTGGGTTTTCTTTTAAAAAGATCCTGGACAAAATTATAGATTGATTGGGCTCTGGTCTGACCTCATAGGTGACATGGTCATCAGTCTGTGGTTTAACTTCTATAAACTTGTTTCCTGCCTTAGGGTGGAGCGTATCATGACCCACATTCTGACGATGGCACAGCCCCCAAAGAAAACAGACATCTGTACAATGATCCTGTCCCCAGAAGAGTTGGCAGCTTTTATAGAGGTAAGCCACCCCCAGCATTAAGCAGAGTCCTCCTCTTTTCTCTGATGCGTGCATCTCTAGCCCAAGCCCTGCACTACATTTTCCACACCCTGACTGACTTCAGACCTGCAATGTTCTTGCCTACACTGTCACCTCTAGCAGTTCTCTGCCTTTGTCTTCGTTCAGGCCCTCCTACCTTCTGCCTTGGGCTTGAGCTTCCTAACCTCCCCGTCTCCAAGGTACTCATCAAAATAGTCCCTGAAATAATCCTTCTGAAGTTGCATTCTGACCATACCACTCATTCATTCCATTTAGTCATAAAATACTTATGAATGTCACCTGTGTACCTGGTACTAGTCTAGCTTAGAACAAATATGTCAATGGGCAAGATAGCTAAAGATCTCCACCCTAATGGAGCTCACATTCTCAGGAGAGATTGCCAGTAAATGTAATCCATTACCCCACCCCCAAAACCCTAATTCTCACCTGTTGAAAGGCCCTTGATGGCTTCCCATTGGCATCAGGACAAAATCTGAATTGTCTAAGATGGCATTCCAGACTGTCTGTGGTCTCGCTGCCAAGTCTGACTGGTACCCAGCCTGTGGGATTCGCACAGGCCATGCCCTTTAATGGCTTGAAACACATTAATCTTCCCTCGTTTGAAGAGCTTGTTCCTGTCTTTTTCTTTACAGTCCTTTTCGTGTGAGATCTTCCCTACCCACCCTAGATGAAGTATTTCCTCCTCTGTCCTACTCACAGTACCATGCCTCTTATACAATGCAGACCACATTGTGCTCATTCTCTGTCTGCATTTCTCTCAGAAGGTTGTAAGCCTCTCAGAGATGCTGAGTTCTTGGACTGGGGGTGTAGCTCATTTAAAGAGCACTCACCCAGATTATGGAAGGCCTGGATTCAACCCCTAGTACTGGGGAAAAAAAAAAATCTGATTTCTCTTCATCTGTTCTTCTTTTGATTAGCACACTGACAGGGCACAGTTTCATAAATATTTATTGTTTGAATTAAAGGAAAATTTCAAGTGTATTTTCTACTTGCACAGCCTTAAAAATATGATGTTTAACAGTTGACTGAAATGTGCCTCTGGGATTATATGAACTTAGGGGACATTGATAGAGAAAGACAAACCCTTTGGAGTGGTAACTAAAACCCTTGGGAACTAGCACCCTGGTGGAGAAAGGACAATAAGCCCACAGGTAGGAGGCTCTGCCTTGCAAATCCTTCAAGAGTCACCACAGCCTTCTTTTATTTGTTGCTGGGAATTGAACTCATGGCCTTGTACATGCGAAGCAAGCATTCTACCATCAGTGTTGTTTTTATTTCCAAAATAAAAACATACACAAGAATACTTGGTGCTGGGGATGTGGCTCAAGCGGTAGCGCGCTCGCCTGGCATGCATGCTGCCTGGGTTCGATCCTCAGCACCACATACAAACAAAGATGTTGTGTCCACCGAAAACTAAAAAATAAATATTAAAAATTCTTTCTCTCTCTCTCTCTCTTAAAAAAAAAATACTTGTATCATACATAAGAATACTTCTTGTTTTCATTCCTACTGGTCCAGAGTCAAGTGAAGGGCTGGGGTTGTGGCTCAGCATTAGAGTGTTCGCCTAGCATGTGTGAGGCTCTGTGTTCAATCCTCAGCACCACATCAAAATGAATAAATAAAATAAAGATATTGTGTCCAACATAAAAAAATATATATTAAAAGAGTCAAGTAAAATGTATCACTTACCTTGATATACATTCTGTATATTACTTTTACAAAGAAATTTACAGTATATTTTGATTTATGACCAAGCTTAGTAATTCATGGAAAAAAATTAGTAACTGTCCCCTCCCTAAAAGTAGAAAAGTATCTACTTACCTATATTGTAGTTTATTTTTCTGTTCATTCTTGAAATGAGAATATAGAGAAAGATACTATTTTTGTGCACTAACAAAATTTCTTTGTAATTTCGCTTAAAAAATATGAGTGACACTGCCTTCCAAATGTTTGGGCTTAAACTGGAGTTTATATTTTTCAGCACAAATGTTAAAATTATTTCTGACTAAGAAGTAGGTTGGGTCTATGATAAGAAAGCCTGAACTTAGATCAGTGGGGTGGGGGCTTTTAAATATCCTATATCAGTTGAAAGATTAGGTTTCTGTTGTGAAGTACATGTTGCCCTATGTTAACTGACCCTTGCTGCAAGCAGTGAAGTAGGGAGAATGTTCCCTGGAAAGCCTCCAACCTCAGAAGACATGAAAGTTTTGCAAAAGGGAGATGAGGATTTTTCCTCATCTATTTCTTTAGTTAGTTAGTTTTATGTTCAAGAAAATGCAATAAAATGACATGAGAACTGCTTTGACCAAGAGTACATCTGTACATCAGTAACTGAGTTTTTCTTTATTCAGTGCCTTCTCCACGACCAGACAATTCTTTCCATGAAAATAACGTGTCAACCAGAGTTTCTTCCCTACCATCTGAAAGCAGTTCTGGAACCAATCACTCAAAAAGACAACCAGCATTTGATCCATGGTGAGTGTTTTGATTTAGTTTTATCTTCTTTTTTCAAATTATAGATTCAAGAATGCAAAGAAATTCTGGATAAACGTTAGCATTATTTCTCCTGCTTGGCCTTTCTCTCTCGAAAGATTTTTAGACAAGGAAGACATAATTTGTCATTATTTGTCTTTTTTTTTTAAGTTAAACATCTATATTAAATATCATTTAAAAGAAAAAAACTCATACATCATTAAATACCTGATAATTTTCCATTGTATTCTTTGTGATATGAATGATAATATTTGTCGCTTCCCTTTATTGACATTGAACCCCATACTTTGCTTTGCACTTGTACATTGTCTCAGTCCATTCTCACAACTGCCCTTTGGAGTAGGGATTACCCCCATTTTATAGAAACTGAAGCTTGGAAGTCAAGGAACTTTCCTGATGCTGGATAGTCAGTCACATGGATGAGGGAGCCCAAATTTAGACCTAAATGGGTTCTGACTCCAAAGCTTGTAGTTTTCATCTTTGTACCACCTGCCTTTCATTCATGGTAAAAAGTCAGAAGTAAGAACAGCTCTTCATATGCTACCCTAAAAAGGTTCAAATGTTGTGGCAAATTTTCTTATCCTTTTTCTTTTTGTATCATATGTAGTACTGAGTCCTAACATTAATGACTAAAAGTTAGACTGGAAGTAAGATATCGTGATTGATGTCAACTTATTTATTTATTTATTTGTAGTTGTAGGTGGATATAATACCTTTATTTTATTGATTTATCTTTATGTGGCACTGAGGATCAAACCCAGGACCTCACATGTGGTAGGCAAGCACTCTACCACTGAGCCACGACTCCAGCCCTGATGTCAACTTTTAACCCTGTAACTTTATATGCCCGTCAGTTTCCTTATCTGTAAAATAGGGCTAAGCAGAGGCACTTCCCAGGCCAAGGATATAGTTCAGTGGAAAAACATAGTGCTCAGCATGCACAAGGCCCTGGGTTCGATTTCCCAGCACTGCAGGGTTAAAAAAAAAAAAATAGCAATTCCCTCATAGAGTTCATGTGATAATTAAATGAGGTAACTCATAAAAATTACCCAGAACAGTGTCTGTCACCTTATGGGCTCATTAATGTTAGTGGCTGCAGTTATTATGCTTAGTATCATATAGCTTCACTCTGACTTGTTGTTTCCCCTCCACCTAACTTTGCCAATAAACTTTCATGCATTCTGCCTCTTTGTGGCTGTTTTGTGCTCCCTGGGGTGTAGAGATTTACTGTGCATTAACCCTAGAGCACAGGTACCAGTGTTGACTATTCTCAGATGTAGTAGCTTTGATGAGCCCTGAAAATATTGTCTAAAGTGTGAGAATACATTAACATGGTTGGAATGAATAGAGTTTTTTTGGTCAATGAAGTGGTGATAATTTAGAAGAGAATCAGTTGTTGGTCATGGTCACCACCATGTAATCCTAGAACCTGTAATCACCTGTAATCCTAGCAACTCTGGAGACTGAAGCAGGAGTATCGTAGTTCAAAGCCAGCCTTAGCAATTTAGGAAGGCCCCAAGCAACTTAGCAAGACCCTGTCTCAAAAAAAATGGTGGGGGGGCTGGGGTTATGGCTCAGCGGTAGAGCGCTCACCTCGCATGTGCAAGGCCCTGGGTTCGATCCTCAGCACCACATAAAAATAAATAAAAGTTATTGTGTATAACTACAAAAAAATAAATATTAAAAAAAAAAACTGGGGCTGGGGTTGTGGCTCAGTGGAAGAGTGCTTGCCTCACATGTGTGAGGCACTGGGTTCAATTCTCAGCACTACATATAAATAAATGAATAAAATAAAGGTTCATCAATACTAAAAAATATATTTAAAAAAACAATAAGTGGGGGCTGGGCATATATAGCTCAGTTAGTAGAGTGCTTGTCTCTCATGCACAAAGCCTTGGGTTCAATCCCCAGCACCACAAAAAAAAAAAAAAAAAAAAAAAAGACAAAATCAATTACAGATTACCATAGTCATGTGAAAGCTAGGTCAGAATCAAAATTAAATCTAGGGGCTGGAGTTGTAGCTTAGTGGTAGAGTGCTTGCCTACTAGCACATGTGAGGCATTGCTTTCAATCTTCAGCAGCACATAAAAATAAAAAATAAAGGTATTGTGTCCATCTATGACTAAAAAAAAAATTTTTTTTAAATTTTAAATCCAAAAGTGTGATAGTCAGTAATATTATTATGTCTTTTTCTGTTTTTTGTTTTTTAGAAGGTGGTTTGGGTTTGGTTTGGTGCTGGAATGAACCCAGGGCGTGGCATATGCTAGGCACATGCTCTACCACTAAGCTGCTGCCCCAGCTCCTCATTTCTGTCCTTTTGATAATCCACTTGAGTAGTAAAACTTTAGATATGGATATATGGATAAACCTGAAATCAGTTGTTTTATGAGAATCAGAGGCACAATTGGGACATTGAACTTTAGCCAAGTCTTCATCGAGTATTCCTTGCTCTGATATTGCTGATTTGAGGCTTGAGAGGGTTCCAGCATTGCAGTAGTAAATTGGCTCTCTTCTTTTGTCCCCTGCCAACCCCTCCTGATAATGCTGCTATGACACATCTCTTATAACGTATCTTATTTGATCCAGTAATCTAAGGGCAGTCTGTGTGTCCTGTATAACAGTACTTTAAACTTCTTTGGGGAAGAGAATATTTGTACAGTGTACACTTTGTCTGCAATGAAAAAAATGAAGCTACTATGTCATATTTTTAAAACAACAAATAGTTATTGTGGTATAATACCCAGAGCTGTTGTTATTCCGGCCACCTTAGCTGCCTTGAACCCACTTAAGAACTGAGAGATGAGCCAGGATATCTCAGAACAAGAAAAAGAGAGTCCATGCAGCCAGATTCATCATCTTTACTAATAGGATGACACCTCTACCCTTGCTTGGAGCCTATTTGTCTATTATGCCTAATTCTAGCAGTTGGCGCTGAGGTTGTCAGGGCAAGAAACAGTCCCAGGTAACAATGCAATGTGCAGAAGAAACAGCATCACGAACAGTAGGTGTAGAAAAAAGCAGGTGTTTCTGTCTTAGGCCCCCAGTGAGAAAATTATGCACATCATAGATATCCACTTAGAGTGTATGTTATAAAATAGATAATATTTACTCTGTTTAAAAAGACAAATTGGGGCTGGGGCTGTAGCTCAGTGGCAGAGCACTTGCCTAGCATGGGTGAGGCACTGGGTTCCATCCTCAGCACCACATACAACAATAAATAAAATGAAGGCATGCTGTCCATCTACAACTATAAAAAAAATTTTAAAAAGACAAATTGTATAAATGTTTAGAAAGACTGCCATCAAAATTGGGTTAAATGACACTTGAAACAGTAAATTAATTTGAAATCCCACTATTTAAGTGAAGAATTGCTGTAACTTACTTACATGATCCCAGACTCTCTTTTTTCATATAAAGTTATAGATATATTGTATCCATTATAGCTTGTCACCTAGCTTTTACTCCTATGGAATCGTTCACTATAGCTCTCTCCTCTCACACATTAGCTGACCACCCTAGTCACACTGCCAGGGGAGGGGAGGAGGCAGGGAAAGAATCACAGGGTAATGCCTCTCACCTCTTCAACTCGCCTTCCATGCTGCTTCCTGAAGGATTACTAAAGCCTCTATGGCTGACCCTGCTGCCTCATCTCCATCCCATCCTCTTTCCCTGTGAGTCTGGGAGCAGCTTTAATGAGGTCAGGCTCCTTTTTGATTTATCTCTATGTCTCTGACACCTAACACAGGGCCTAGCACATAAAAAGTACTTAGTAAATGTTGGCTGATTTTGATTAAGTAGGTTTTGGTTTTCATTCCTCCCTTTGGAATTTCCTCTTTCTCCTTGACTGATTATGGAAATTACTGTTGTGTTAGATGACATTGGAGTCACATGACTGTAAAGGAAGTCGCCTGTTTACTATTTGCCCCCCCCTTCCCCCCACATATGCACTGTTCTTTTGGGAGCTGCTGCCCCCAATAATGTGCCAGGTGCCTGGAGGGGTGATCTTTCTCAAAGCGTCCATCCTGAGATTAATGCTGCTGTTCTTTGCCTTATTTAGCATGAAACTGCTGTCTGTACTGGGTAGAATCACAGGGACCACAGAGCACAGATGAAGAAAATGGCCAGCCACACTCTTGCGTGTTTGACTCACTCCCATCTGTCCATGTTCGAGGCTTCTTTTTCCATCCTTAGTACACCATATAGCTTTTCAAGTGCCTATATTCTGGGCCTCTGCTCTCTGTATCTCTCTCTCTCTCTCTCTTTCTCTCTCTCCATATAGATCTCTCTCTCTCTCTCTCTCTCTCTCTCTCTCTCTCTCTCTCTCTCTCTCTCTCTCTCTGGCTTTTCTCTTTTCTGTTGCTCTGTGAATTATCTAGGTATGTATGTTTTGTGTAATTTCCACCTGGATCTGTTTTTTCTCACTGTCTTCATTCTGTCTTTTGTGATGCAAACATACGCATGTTTCAATCCTAGCTTTCATCTGGTTCAGGGGTAATTTATTACCTTTTTTCTTTTGGCCTCTGTGTTTTCCTCATCATTCCTTCTATCCCTTCTGGACTGTTTACCCAGCACCCTTTGAAGAGACCTTACAGAGAGGGTCTTTGATCCATCTTCCCTCAACTCAACTCTGCAACACCTAACTTCAGACTCTGAGCTGTTTCCTCCCCACTCCTTCTCCTCTTTCATTACCCTCCCAGCTTCAACTCTCCCTTTCATCTTATTCTCCTTTTCATCCTAGACAGACTCTCCTCTTTCCAGGAAAAACCCTTCTCTTCCTAGAACTGGTGTCTCATCCTTCCTTTCCTCTCCTGCCAGAGTTAATATTCTTAGAGTAATGTCTTCCCCTTCTGAAATTGCATTCATGTTGAGATTGTTTTCCTTTATAGTACTACACTGCATCTAAAGAATCTTTAACTTTCTACCACCCCATTTCCCCATTCTTGCTCATTTCATCATGTCTGAACTTTTTTTTTTTGGGGGGGGGTACCTAGGGATAGATTCCAGGGGCACTCTACCACTGAACCACATCCCCAGCCTTGTTTATTTTGAGACAGGATCATGCTGAGCTGCTGAGGCTGGCCTCAAACTTGCAATCCTCCTGCCTTAGCCTCCCAAGTTGCTAGGATTGCAGGCATGCGCCACTGCACCTGGCTATGCCTGAAGTTTTCTGGCTGTAGTTGCGGGTTGAAGTGTCATGATTTGTTGAAAAACAAAACTTTTATTTCAGAACTTGGAACTCTCAGTGATGTTTAAAATTGAAAGTCCCAGTAAGTTTCTGGAACACTTGGACCTGCCATACCAGTTTTTACTTCTTGGCCATTCCCATTAAGTTTTAGACTAAATGCTTAAGAAGAAATGGTCACTGTGCCACTAAGCAGTCACTTTTACTCTCAATTTTAGAGAATAGCTTATAAAAGAAATCCAATCATTTGAGAAAAAGGCTCTGCACAGTCATATAGTTATTGAAATTAAAAGTAGGGTCCATGGAATGTGAGTTCTTCAAGAGTAACACTAGTCAAGTTGCTTTTTAAAGAGTGTAAGTTAAATTAATATAAGTCCTCTTTCAACATACAAGTATAGGCATCTTTTTGAGCCCATGGCATTATTTCCTATCTTTTAAATATCTTGTATTTTTATTAAAATACCTGGTGTTATCCATGGCATTAAGCTTAATGTCAGTGTTTTCAGTTAGAAGCTTTTTCTTTCCATGAGCACTTTGTATTAAAGCATTCATCCTATCTATGTTTTTAAGTATTTTTTATTTAGTTTTAATAAATGGATAAAAGGTTTAATAGAGAGGAATTTTCCAGTGTCAGGCCATTTTTTTTTTATTTGTAATGTTTCTGTAGCAGCATTGATTTTTTTAATGTTCAATATCTTGGCAAGCTGCTAATAATAAACTCGTTGAACTGTTTTTTAAAAGGTAAATAGAAAAATGAAGGTATTAAAAATGTTTCTGCTCTTTTCTTGGAGGGTTACAGAAAAGGCATCCTCTAAGCTGTGCACTTTTCAGAATCTCTAATTCTAAGGCTTTCAGCAGCATGAAAATGGTCCAGCAGCACAGTTACAGATCATTTGTAATAGTGCCCAAATTGCTAGTGTGAGTGAGCCTGTGCTGAAAAATACCCATTAACTATGGTTGATTAGATTCAGTTCCTCCTGTGCTTTTTTTGAGGACCTTTACCTGTGTGCTTGATTCTTCATGGCTGTTTGCACCTGGTGTCGTGCATTTTTAGTCTTCATTATGCTGGTCACACAGTGGCAAGAGATTGATTGAAAGATCAATATGATAAAAATGTCTTCTCATTTAGGAAAAGTCCCGAAAATATTAGTCATTCTGATCAACTCAAGGAAAAGGAGAAGCAAGGCTTTTTCAGGTCAATGAAAAAGAAAAAGAAGAAATCTCAAACAGTAAGTAGATAGCCAATTTCTATGTATAATGGCATGGGTTTCTGCATTATTCTGTGGATATATTACACTCTGTACATGGCAATCAAAGTTAATTTTTTGCTGAGACTTGACATGCATACACTGTAGATGTCTCTTTTTGAAATTCTATACAACTGTCCTCTCACAAAGTCTTTTCTAGATTCAGCAGATCTTTAAGAATAGAAGAAATTTAATTTGGATGAAAGAGAACACTTTAAGCCTCTCTCAATAAACTTCTTATCCGTATAGATTTATATTCCTGTAAAAACTATGGAGATGAAAAATTTGTTTCTCTCTGGGGGCATAAAGATATGCGAAAACTTAGAAAACAGTTTTGATTTACATTTAAATCTTGAAATTCATAAATAACTATCATTCCTTATCCTCCTGGCTGATTGTAGAATTCCCATGTTGACAAGTATGTTTCTGTGCTGTATAGTCACAAAGAGATGATCACATCAGATGTTTCAGAGCTTGCTTTAGTAGGTAAACATGTTTCCCCTGTAGTATCACTGTGAGTTGGGCTGCACTTTAGCTCCTGGGAGCTCTCAGCCTGAACAAAAGGCTGGTACTAAGTACATCACTTCACTGAGCCACCCAAGTGAGAATTCTATTGGCTAGAGACTTGAGAAAATGTGGGGGAGCCAGGCCTCCAGGACAGCAACGGGTGGTTCTTTGCCCATCTGAGGCCTGCTTCCCCCTTAGCTTCATGAAACCTTCAAAATTAGATGAGGTTGAGTTAGCCATTTTAAGTGATTTTGATTCCAGCTGTACTTCATGCATGATATGCTCTCATTTATTTGAAGAAGAAAATTGCCTAATCCAAATGGCCTGTTCATTGATTTCATCTGTAAGATTAATAGATTAGACTCAGTGTTTTTGAGGCCCTTTTCATTATGAAAATTCTAGAATTGTGACTCAATGGTAAGTAAAGATGAGATAGGTGATAGTAGCGAGTATATAACCTAGAATCAGGATTTTTGTTTCATAAATGTTCTAGAAATGTTAACAAGGACCTTTCTTAGATTAGCTTTCTAGACCATTCTTTCACTTGCTTGCTTATAAAATTTATGTATTTCATGATAGAATAAATATGACCTCATTAGAGAAAAATGTGTAAAATGTTTGTGGAAGAAAAGGGGGTGGGGGTATTTTAGGGGTGGTTTTTTTGGGGGGAGCTATAGGGATTGAACTCAGGGGCTGACCACTGAGCCACATCCCCAGCCTTATTTTGTATTTTATTTAGAGACAGGATCTTGCTGAGTTGCTTAGCACCTCACATTTGAGGTTAGCTTTGAACTTGCAATCCTCCTGCCTCATCCTCCCGAGCTGTTGGGATTATAGGCTTGCACCACCATGCCCAGATTAAGTTTGTTTTAAATAATAGTAATAATTATAGTATAATTTTATATTCTGCCTTTTTACAATATATTTATCTGTGTCTATATACACACAATATTGTATGCTACTTCACAAAACTTTATTATCTTCAATTTAATGCCTGCATAATATTCCTGAAATGTTCATTTGAGTTTAAAAAAAAAAATTAAACCTACCCTTATCTCTAACTGAAGCTCACCTAAAATGAAAAGTCAAATCAAAATGCCATAGTTGGGCACAGTAATCACAGTGACTTCAGGAGGCTAAGATAAAGGGATCATAAGTTCCAGGCCAGCCTTGACAACTTAGTGAGACCTTGCCTCAAAATAAGAATATAAAAAGGGCTGGGGATGGCTGGGGATATAGTTCAGTTGGTAGAGTGCTTGCCTTGCATGCACAAGGCCCTGGTTTCAAACCTCAGCACCACAAAGAAAAATAAAAAGGACTGGGGATGTAACTCAGTAGTATAGTGCCCCTCGTTATATTCCCCAGTACTATTTAAAAAAAGAAAAAGAAAAAAATGCCACTCAATCAGATATTACTTACATTTGTTGCTGAGAGTAGATGAACAAATAGACCTATGTTAGCCTAGGGATGCTTAAAATATTTAAAGTGCTAAAAAAATAAATACAACATTTACCATTGTCTACAGAACATATTCATCATGATCATTGAAACTTAGCTACCTCTTCCTGACCACTATGAGTTTTATTTTAAGGTTTTTGTTCTTAACCACAGATCTGCAGCCATTTTAAGTGATTAAATGACAGAAAATAGTAAGAATCAAGGAATTGAAACTGTTTTTGTATTTAGAGTTAGGTTTTAATGTCCGTCTGCCTTAGACTGACATTAAACCTAAAGCCCCTGACTCAGTGAGGCCAAGTAGAGTATATACATATTGACTGACTTTATTATTCAGGATACAGTTACTTAGATATTTAAATAGTATAGGGTAAATAGGAAAATTAATATTTTCTAACATCTCTTTGACTTACTTTTTATTAGATATTTAAATTAACTGCAAAATATCTTTCCTCATGCCATCATGCCTTACACCTTCCAAAGCAAAAGTTTTTAAAATACCACCGTATTTTTTTAACTAAAGAAAAACTATTTAAGGCCTTTTTTGAATGAGCAAACGTACTTAAAGTTCATTTGTTTTCACTTTCTAGAATTGAACAAAAGGAAACTAAAACAAACTTTGAAATATTTAGGCATTATAACTTTTGCATAGGCTTCAAAGAAATTCTGATGTCCAGTGCACATAGAGAGGTGTGAAATTTTAAAAGTTGGTGGATCTTAAATCTAGTTGAACCCTTTTGTTTCATTAGCACAGGAACTGAGCCCAGGCAGGTTGTGACCTGCCCAACACATAGTCAGTTGGGACAACGAAAACCAGGTACTCGTGAATCCCAGTGCCAGGCTTAGTCCTGCTGGGCCCATTGCTGTGAAAGGCCCTGGGGGGAGGAGGGAGCTCTCTTCTGACCTCTTTAGCAATGGGTCTTAAACTGTGCCCTGGGTTCTTGTCATTAGATTAGGAAATTAGAGCATGGGATATTTTTCCCGAATGTCCTCATACACAAACCCATAAAAGATGGTCTGTGAATACCTTTATTACTTTCTAGTTCTCCAACAATTGAGATATCCAAAAGAGAGAAAAGGGGTGCCAAAAATTAATTCTGTATTGTAAAGGTGCATGCTTTGACTCAAGCAAATCTGGAAGCTGCCTTGGGAAATCTGGCTTCAGTTACATATCCAGAGAGTTACATAAGCCCTCAGAGCATATGGTGACTTTGCCAACTTGGTAATTGTATTCTACTTAGTATCTCAACTTGCAATGATGCTTCAATTTAAAGATTGAACTTTCTGTTTCTTCACTTGAAAAGCCAATTTTCTAAATTGTGCCAAATATTTTCCACTGGGTAAATATTTCTAACAGTGTACAAGAAGGCTGCTTGGTCAGTGTTAGCCTCCCAGAACAGTGGTAGTCCTCTTCCAAGTGATGTATTCTGGCTCAAGAGTTGACCAAATTTATAAAGGATTTACAGTATCTCTTTTCCCATTAATAGGCAAATTATATTGTTATTTTTTAGTTGCTAAATTTCTCTCTAGCAATTAGGAAAAGATTGAAGTTCATCAGTAGCTCATTAAACAATTCTTTATAATAATTTTATTTTGATAATAAATAAATTCTTAAATGTTTCATAAGCTTAATCTGAACAGATGTGTATAGGTTTCCAGGCATTCCTACCATAGGTATTGATCATGACCACATATTATAGGCTTAGAAAAAGTTCATGCTTGCCTTGAACTTACCTTATTGACCTCTTCGTACCCATGTGAAAAATGAAACAGAACCATTCTAGATGCTCAGCACAGAGATTCTTTCAGTGACTGTTAATATTTAACAAATTGAAGGCTGCCAAGGGTTATTAGTTTCAATAAAAGCACCTTTTTTTTTTTGCAATTAGTTTATTTGTATCTTATATTGCAGACAGATTCCACCAACGGGGAGAATCCAAGCATCAAGAAATCCCTCTTTCCTCTTTTTAATTCAAAGAATCATTTAAAGCATAGTTCTTCTTTGAAAAAGCTTCCTGTAGTCACTCCACCCATGGTACCCATTTTTATGTATGGTAGCCCTGAAAACTGCTCCAGTAAACTTGTTTTACTGATGACAAAAGCATGTCTTATTTTCGTGGGGTCATATTCTCTTTGTGCTAGTTAAGTACCTGAGCCAGTTCCATAAATTCACCGGGATATAAAATCTTTGTCATTCTGGATTTTTTGGAATCAGTTAAGGATGTTGACACATAACATCTATTAAACAAACCAGTGAAAGGCTAGTTTGGGTTGTCTGATTAGCCAGTTATTGGCAGACAACATTTATGAAGTCCCTTATTTCCTGTAAAGAATTTGATTAACATTTACACTTAACAAATGTCTTTGCATTTGGCTCACAAAGTTTGTTAACATTTGGTTGGCAGTTTGTTTCTTTGAAACTAAGTTTGAGTTGACCAAATTAAGTGAGCTAGCAGGCTCCATGAAAAAAATAACTTCTACTAGTTGGTGACTTGTTCTTTCCTTGCCTGGCTCTAGCTTTTGCTGGTCACTTAATTTAAAGCCACAATTTTGCTCGGCATGTGGCATAACTCTCCTTTGTTCACCAAAACTGGTGAATAGACTAATTGCATTCACTTGGAATTTGTGGTACAAATTTCCAGCATTTTTCCAGTATATAATACTAGATCCAAATTTACTGGGTAACGTTGGGACTATGATTCAAACTGTACTTTCCCACTTCACTATCCTTGAAGACCTACTAGACTTCTTTGGCACCACCAACTGTAGTGTTTGGATCATTTTCCCAGCAGGGAAATTTTTTTTGTTGTTTTATTGAACTGGTTCATAACCTAACTGCAATATGGAATGAGGATACGACATCAATTCCTGGTACAGCCCAATTTAACTGCTCTCTCTTACAGCGACTAAAACTAACAGCATGGGAATGCTTTAAGGGTTGAGGTTTCAACAAAGCTGCATGACATCTGCCAATTTTTCCTAATGCAGGGAAAATTATTAAGAGGGCAGCAGAATTTAACTAGCATCACTTGCATTATGAATATTGGGAGAGTTTTGGTTTCTTTCTTTCTCCCCCCCCCCCCCCCCTTTGAGTTTTGGTTTGGTTCAATTTGCTTTCTGGTTTTGTTCTCCTCTTGGGTGTGGCTGTATATCTTAAATAGATTTATTGGTGTGCTTGTTGAAACCTTGTCCACCTTTCACTCTAGGTGCCCAATTCTGACGGCCCCGACCTTCTGACATTACAGAAAGCCATTCACTCTGCTAGCACTTCAAGCAGCAGACCAAAGGAGTGGCGTCCTGAGAAGTTCTCAGATCTACAGATCCAAGTGAGTGGAACCTACACTACTCCTAGACTCTCTGACTCTGCAGCAAGTCCTAGGGAGGAAGGCAGGGGAGAGAAAAGTTAGTTTCTCGGTGTTACGGCAACACTGAGGGCCTCCTTCAAATAGACCCTCACTAATAGCCAGGTATATCTTGGGAGTCTGGATGAATCATACTTCAATGACTCACGTCCTCATGGGGGAAAAGTGAGTCTCTAAGCCTTCACCTAGCTGGGGAGGGGACAGAGAGGTTAAGGGAATGAAAAAGATACAGTCCTATCCTCCAAATACTCTACAGCCCAGGAGAGAGATTCATAAAGATTGTGGTGAAAAGTGAGGTCAGCTATAAAATGTTGAGAGAATGAATGGAGATGGTGGGAAGATTAAAATTTCCTTAAAAGTAGTAGAATACAAATTGGGTCTTTTTTTAATATTTTTTTTAGTTGTCAATGAACCTTTATTTTATTAGTATGCAGTGCTGAGAATTGAACCCAGTGCCTCACACATGCTAGGCAAGAGCTGTACTGCTGAACTATGACCCCAGCTCCCAAATTGGTTCAGATACAGATACAGATATGATTATCTTTCATGAAAGAACATTTCATTTCCTGAAACCTATGCTATCTCAGATGAAAAAAAACCAGGCAAACAATTGCATTAGGAACTACAAATTGGACAGTATTATATAGGCACATTTATCTACTGTAGTGGGGCAATAAGCAGAAATTGAGTCAGTAAATTTTTTAAGTAGTGGAGGTTTATCTCCTTTAAACAGCTTGTCAATTAGAGAAGTTTCAATATTGTAACTTTTCAGTATCCCACAATAAGCATAGTTACATAATTTGTTGATTTCTTTAATCAAATCACAGGTTTCTGTGATTTGGAGGTGGGGCCTTTACTCATTACAGGTTTTCTATTTGTTCTCTTTAACTGTAAGCTGTTACTTAGAGCTGGGGACAGGAGTTCCCCAAATGGCTATCCTCTTTATCCAACCATTTGTATTTTCTGCTTCTGATGTCATATGGGCTGGGGGCAGTGGGGGAATAGAGAACCAGATATTCAAGTATATTGGAACACAGGCTCCAAGTGAGGGCCCAATGCTTAGAAACTCCATGGTGAAACTGTTTCCTTTGCCAAGAAGCTTTTTTCAAGTAACTTTTCATCTCCAGCTGATTCTGGATTATTGTAATTGCTCAATAGTTACATGTGATTAGGGCTATAAAAAATCCCCAGGAGTCTCATTGTGTTACCATAATAATTTAATAAAAAATGAAAAAACAAAAACACCTTTGAGCACTTACAGTGCGCAAGGTACTATGCCACCTCCTGTGGGGACCCATGGCTTTCTTAGAAAGATCTTGGAATAGTGTTGGAGGATACTTCCCCTGGAGCAGTTAGTTCCTCCTTGAGTTGATTCTCAAGCCTTTTACCTTGGCTTTCTTTCTTTTAACATTTTTTAGTTGCAGATGTACATAATAGCTTTATTTTATTTATGTGTTTATTTATTTTTTATTCTGGTACTGGGATTTAACCCAGGGGTGCTTTACCACTGAGCTCCATCCCCAGCCCTTTTTATTTTTTATTTTGAGACAGGGTCTCACTAAGTTGCTAAGGACCTCATTAAGTTGAGGCTGGCTTTGAACTTGAACTTTGATTCTCCTGCCTCAGCCTCCTGAGCTGCTGGGATTACAGGCCTGCACCACCATGCCTGGCTATTTTATTTATTTATTTTTATGCAGTTCTGAGAATCAAACCCAGTGCCTCACACGTGCCAGGCAAGTGCTCTGCTACTGAGCTACAACCCCAGCCCGTAACTTGGCTTTCAACATCGTGTTCCTTCAAACCCTGTGGTGTTTCTGGAGATTTTCAACATCTTATTCAAACTTGGCTAGCCCTAAATGTATGTCGCTTGTACTGTGACACTCAGAGTAAAGGTAAAGATATTAGCAGGCAGAGCTGCCCCAAGGCTAGGATTGTAGTCTGAGTGATAAGAGTCCAGCAATAGTGATTGGCTGTGCATGTCTAAGGGCTTTCCATGCCTCTTCTGATAGTGGCCTTCACATGCCCCATGATAGAGGTGGAGAATAGGGGAGTCAGCTGCCTTTGACCATTGAGGAGCCTGAGGCTCTGGAGTTACCTGAGAGTATTTGGCTAGCCTGAGGCAGAACATGTCCAGGACCCTGCCTTCTGCCTTGATGCCACTCTTCCTCCACAGTGCAGCCCCTTATGGGCCTTCAGCCATGGACAGTCAGGCAGAGCTGCTGTGAGTCCATGTTAGGAGTTGACGGCCTTCTGTGAATGAAAAATTAGGTTCTGTAGGGGTTTTCTTTTGTGCTTTGCATTGTTTATGCCCAGATCTTACACCCCCACCCCCCACCATACATTCACATAAAAGTAACTATAGCAGGGCACATTTAGATTTTACAATATCAAAGAAAAGGGGAAATCAGATAGATGAGAACAAAAAGGGCTATACAATGTTTTAGCTCAGTGCATTGCTGCCGAACTAAAGCATTGCATTCTTCCAGCTTCTCCCCAGCTAGATAAGGTTGTGTGCCTGAGTTCTAGCCAGTGAAATATTAGGTGGAAGCATTATGTGGAACTTTTGGGAAGTCTTCTCAAAAAGGAGAAAAACATCCCTTCTTATATTTCTTCTTCATATGGTTGAAGCATGAAACTCCATAGTAAGACAGGATGCAGCCAGATTGAAGGAGCCTGGGCCTCTGAGCAGCACCCACCAGCTCTAGTTGTCTTCTAGATTTTCACATGAAAGGACAGTGACTATAGTCTTCTTTGAAGAAACTCAGAAGGCAGCTAGAGCTGGGCTAGCCCTTCCAGCTTGCCCTCCCTGGCTTCTTTTAGTCTTGTCCCCTCTGAGCTCCATTTTCTCCCAGCGCCCTGGTCTACTCAGAATTTAATACTATATACGTTCCCATCCTTTCTTTCAGAGCCAGCCGTTAAAATCACTGCGCAAGCTGTTACATCTCTCTTCAGCCTCAAATCATCCGGCTTCCTCAGATCCCCGCTTCCAGCCCTTAGCAGCTCAACAAACCAAAAATTCCTTCTCAGAAATTCGGATTCACCCCCTGAGCCAGGCCTCTGGTGGGAGCACCAACATCCGGCAAGAGCCCACACCAAAGGGCAGGCCAGCCCTCCAGCTGCCAGGTCAGATGGATCCTGGTTGGCACGTGTCCTCTGTGACCAGGAGTGCCACAGAGGGGCCTTCCTATTCTGAACAGCTGGGTGCCAAGAGTGGGCCAAACGGGCACCCATATAACAGAACAAATCGCTCACGAATGCCAAATCTGAACGATTTAAAAGAGACGGCCTTGTAATTTGTGCTGGGGTGGGGGGAGGGGGGACGAGCCAGTTGGGAAGGGAGGGCGCGGGGTGGGCTGGGGAATGGGCTGGGCCAGGGTGGTAAGCCAGTATTTTCAGCTTTATGAAGGTGTGTGCAATATTGTATGTGTAGGGCCATCTGGCTCCTCACAGCCACAAATGCTAGTCAGGGATCTTAGAGCCACGGGAGTTCCTTAGGGATCGCCACTCCCCACAGGTCTTGTGTGAGAATGGATAGAGTGTGCCATTGAGGAAGAAGAAATTCTTGCCAGTGTCTCCCCCTTACATTCCAGCTTTAGTGCAATCTCTGTTGAACTTGGGAAAGCCAGGACATGTCCTGGCACTGCAAGGGATAGAAAAATTCGTGTTGACCGATGCCCTTACCACGTATTTTTTTCTGCCTAGACTAAATGTGGGGTTTGTTGTAATCCAAGAGTATCCCTTTGAAGGGTTAGAAGATGAACTGTATGTCTTAAATTGTTTTCTAAGCTTCCATATTTGATAGGATTTGTAACATTTATTTATAATTAATATTGTACTGTTGTAATTATCATACTTTTATGTTCTAATGTAAAGTTATTTTGAGCTGTTTGGAACATTGTGAAGCAGTGGGACAGCTACAGTAGTTTCTATAAAAACTAAACAGTAACATTTATATATTGCATCAGGAGTATTTTATTCTATATATATAAATATATATATGGTAAATATCTGTCTGTTTTATAAATATATTCATTTAAAGAAAGTATCGTTATGACACTATCTGCCATATTTTTATACATTTGTGATATGAAGTGAGTATTATACTTCTAATAAAGGGAGTTGAATTGTGGCTACATGTGACTGTAACAGTATGAACCTTGCTCAACTTTTCGGCCCCAGCAGTAGCCTCTAGATGTGATCCTTGGTAGCAGATAATGCAGCATCTCTTTCCAGACCCACAAGGGAAGAAGGTCAGCTAGGCCAGTGAAGATTCCAGCAGGCCTCGTTTCCACCCTCACACACTTGGCTCCCATTTGTGTCCAGGGATGTTGCTTGGACACAAGGGGGAGAACCAGACAGAGGTGTTGCTCATGGGTCTTTGTAGAGAGAATGTGCTCTTCCACTAAGCATTAGTGTAGAGCGTAGACCAAAGATTCGCCAGCAAACATTCCTTGTTGTGAGGTTGTAAGAGGCACCTGTCTGCAGATCTTGCAAACCAGCTCTATGCTCCTGAATACCGCCCGCCCTCCTGGAGACTCTTGGCTCTAGCTGCGGTGTGAGATGCGTGTGTGGCATTTCTCCTTCTAACCGCTTTTTTCATTATTGCTTTTCCCGATGTATTTAAAAGGCTCCTGAAGCAATTCCAGTTGTAGAGAAAATCTCTCTGTAAATGGATGCTATATCCATTTTTTTTTTCCTGGGACTGTCCATTTATAACAAGGTCATCATGCACACCTGTATATACACCCTTCCCTCCATCAGAACAGGACCTATCTTGCTCTCATTTGATCACTTCAATTCCCAAGTTACTCGCAAGTACCATTAAGGCCTTTGGCCAGCAAGTGTTATCCCCCGTATCTCCAGGCCATCCTTGACAGAAATCACCTCAACACCATCATCTATCAGTAGTAGTAGACTTTTGGAAGTAGTCTCTTAGCAATAAGACTTTTAGAGGTCCCTCCCACCCCTCAAAGAGGTAACTTCTCAGTATTTATTACTCGCTCCAGGATTATGAGAGTGTCAGCCCTTGAATCAAGTCAGCTCTCTTTGAAATATGCTGAATTCCCGTTAACCCTCCCCCAAGATTTTTAGAATCCTAGCTCTGATGATTATGAAGATTATAAAGAGAAAGGTCTTAGAATCTCTGAAGCTTAAAATGTGTGCATATTGCATTTTTATATAAATATTATAATGATGTGTATTGATTATATATAGAGAGAGGTCATTTTAAGGTGCTTTTTATTTAATTGTAGTAAGTGTAATAGGCACTAAAATGAAACTCAACTGGGTACTATCATTGAAACAATTTGATTCAAATAAATAGTTTTTGCATGTTCTCAAGTTCCTTTTCTATCTCCTTTCTGTCACCAGTTCAATACTGGTTGGGTAGCTCTGAATTCTGGCTTTCCCCAGGCAGCTGCTTGGTTATACATGTGAGGTAGACCCTCAGCAGTTTATGCCTGGATACAATGACTCTACAAAGGTGTATATTTAACACTTCTTTTCGTACTAGATCTGTACCTTGTATCCCCCCTTGCAAACCAGAAACTACGTTTTTTCTTCTGGAAAGACTTCTCACTGTGCTGTGCGCTTAGGAACTGCGCAGTCCCGTTGCCATACTATGGCATTCGAGGCTCGTCGTCACCTAGGGGCTGGTTTCCCATGTTGTCATCCTTGCTAACACTGGGATCTCAGATGTTTGCAGAACATTTATATTCTCGATGGTTCTTCAAAGAAGGGCTAGAATAATTGCCTTCTACCTAGAACAAACTAAACCTAACTGATGAAGAGTCAATGTGTACTTTTTCGTACATTCCCAGATTTGAGCCAGAAAATAGCTACAATGTTTTCAACTAGTGTTTTTGAGGTAGCTCTTTTATCCTCTTCTCAGCTTTTGTCCTTTCCCACTTTTCATCGATCCTTAATAAACTGTAAGTGAACCTACATTGCATTTCTAGCATGTCATTCTTTTCCTGTTTGGGGGGTGGGTGGGAGTAAAGTCTTCTTTTGGATCTAATGGGTCCTCTCTCAGCTTCTAACTGTTGCTTTCACCTCTGGTTGATGAGAAATTACTAACCTCACAAAGATTGCCATCCATAGTGGGAAGGACTTGACTTAAGTCACAAAAATTTGCATTTTCTTTAGGAAGGGGAATTTATGACATCCACGTTCTGTTATCTGCCCTAACTTCCTAAAGAATACATAGGTTGAATGAAGGTTTGTGAATTACTTTTGTGTTTTGGAAGTATCACTAATCTCCTTTTGGAAAAAAAAAACAACAAACTTAGCTTCTCTTTTTCTACTTTGACTTCTCTGCCATTCTTCTTTTTCTTCTCTAAAGTTCTAAGTGAACTTGAACTGAGCCTTGTTCAGTCTTGACTGAAGTTTAGCCTCTCTCCATAACCCAAGACTAAAAGGGAGTTCTCCGCGCCAAGGGGCTCAAGTGAGCTATCTCCAGAGCAAGTGCTTCTCAACCAGGGGCAATTTTGCCCCCACAGGGCACACTTGGCGATGTCTGGAGACATTTGGGTATCACTCCTCTGTGGGGGTTACTACTGGCATCTAGTGAGTAGAGGCCAGAAATACTTGTAACCATCCTGCAGTGCACAGGACAGTCCCCCAAATAAAGAACAATCCAGCCTCAGCTGTCACTGGTGGTGAGGTTGAGAAACCCTGCCCAACACCATTCCAGCCCTGTCTGTAGAGCTTGGCTCTGGCCTTGTTCTTTCCAGGCTACAGAACTGCAGGAATGAATCTTCTACCACAATTCTTGAGTCCTTGGAATCCTGTTGTTTGTTTCCATTGTCTTGGGCCTGCTAAAAGGTGCACACTTTGGGAGGAAGCCAGAGTTACTTTATATGTGTTTGAGAAATTAAATTCTAGGTTAGCATCCTTAGAAAATCTTTCATAGAGCCATGAGGCTTATATTTAGAAGCAAGCAACAGCCTGGCAGATTGGCATGATTTTTACCAACTGCTCAAAGGCACCCATGGCTTTTAGCTGTGTCTACCGAAAGAAAATGTCTTTGTTTTTTAATCAAGTTATTTAATAGCTCTTTACAAATATTAGCATATGACAGACCGATTAAAAGCAAAAAAAAAAAAAAAAAAAAAAAAAACTCTTTATTGGTGGTTGTGATGTGGCTATTATAGAAGTATTTGTGCTGTGTATGCTTTGGTTGAATCTGTTTTAAAACATGCTTTAAGACTCACCATATGCAGTTGTATACTTTAACTCTAAGCTCGGAGCTATGCTGGTCAGTCTCTAGTCACGTTGTGTATTATAAAGTATGTTGTGGTTGTAGAGTTAGCCAGTTTAGCATGTTCCTAATCTGAAAATTAGTGGACTACACTAGGAAATGCTGTCCCATTTTTCCCTTCCCAGCACCTCTTAGTTGATATCATAGTATCCTCACTTCTTAAACTAGTTTTTAGAGTAAATAAGGAAAAAAGCCATTTATTTTATTCTAGCCATGTATTGAGAATGACTCATTAAGTGTACAACTTTTTTTCAAAGGCCAGAGGATTACTTTTCATGTGTGTAGAAGGCTCTGTCCACTTCTGTATCCCTGGATCCCAGTGGTGACAGAACTCTTTTTGGCAAGGGCAATAAGAAGCTCATCCTGAGTCACCACTGGAGCCCAGTTGGGACTCAAAAAACCTGCATTATCTCTCAAGCGCCAACCTGTTTGCTGGAGAACATTGCTTTTCTATCTGGAAGTTCATTGTCTCCTGCATTAAAGTGGGATACTGAACTCTATGCAGGTACAAAGATCCACAGGCTCATACTTGTGTGAACCAGGATCGTGGTTTTGTTGAACTAACAAGCCAGAAAACAGTGGGCTATTTCCTTGCCTCCTTCAGTTCCTCACTAATAAAGTATGTAGACAGAGAAAACTTATTTATGGTTTAAGAAATAACAATTCTGGTTTCTTTGAAAGAGACTGCAGAAAAACAGTATCAATGTTGAAAATGTCCTATCACTAATAACCAGGACCAGAATCTCACAAGAGGTCTTTGCAGAGATTTAAAAGGCCAGCTTAGGGTTGGGCTGTATCTCAGTGGTAGAGCACTTTTCTGTATGTGTGAGGCCCTGGATTTGATCCTTAGCACTCAAAAAATTTTTTCAAATAAAAAATAAACAAGAGGTCAGCTTACCAGAAACAGGCAAACAAACAAACCTTTAAATGGTTATGGTTTCTTCTTTTTGCCTCATGATCAGCTGAGATATAGAATATCTTGAGGTCTGGTTCAGCTGAGTAAAAAATTCTTCTTGAAAACCATGAGTAAGAATCCATGAAAGAAAATGACCGTCTCTCATCTGTCTGCATCACAGAATGGGGGAGAAGTCAGGTGTCTAGGAAACTCTGGGCCTATTGCCCCGTGCGATTCTTTTTTCTTTCTTTCTTTTCTTCTTAATTGAATGTACTATACAAGATGGTAGACTTTTGTGCGAGCCAGTTACTACAGGAGTCTTCATTTCCCACAGTGCTTCGGTAATTCATCAGCGTTAGGCCTGGTCCCACTCCACCTTTCTCTTCTCCAGGCACTGACCCACCTTTCTGCGTATTTACTGTAGGCTATTAAATATGATCTTGACCTGCCTTGCATTTTCATTCTTCAACTGTTCACTCCCCAAATTTAAGGGAGTGTTGTCTCTTGTATTGCCAGAAAAAATTTGTCACAGTCTGCACGCTAGATTTGTAGGGCCAGCAGAACTGCGGCAGTGAAACTGGTGTCACTTCCGAGGCCCTTCATGTCCCACAAGGGTAAGCTCTTTACACCCCCTTTGATCCTTGGTCATATTTGATCCTCCTTGGGAATCTGAAATCGGTCTCCGTGTTGTATGCAGAATAGAAGTTGCCTTGTTCGCTGCTCTTCCCATGCAGAGTATCAGGGAGAAAGAGGCCTTATCTGTCCCTCCATCCCCCCCTCTGTTTTGACAGACTGCTGAGAATCCCTCAGGACTTCCTTTGGTTGGGGATTTCACTTCCCAGAAGGCTGATGTGATTCATTTCAGACGTAGACAAGTTTGTCCTAATACTCTGCTTCAGGTCTAATCAGAGGAAACCCAGGAATAGAAAAGGTAGATGCCTTGACTTTTGTCCCTGTTGGGGGATTAAAGTGTTTATTGCCAGAGTTATCAAAAGCTCTGGTTAAATTCTGTACAGTTTCATGAGAAAAATGATGCTTTTCCTCCTGGAGAATGTGTAAGTTCTCCATAATAGCTTCGCTTTTCCAAAATGGAAAGCAAAGCTTGCAGAAAACCCATTTTCCCTAGGGATCAATAATCGGTTTCTAGTCGCCAGTCTCGGTCCCTCTCCTTTGTTACTCTTTGGTCACCGATTGAGTCAGGCCAGAGGGGTGATGGAAAGAAGTGAATTCTTACTGTAAACTTGCATTGATTAACAGAAACAATGAAGCCAAACAAAATAGTTGCCCCAGATTCCTATCTCCAAGAATTGCTTTGTGCCATTCTGAATTCAGGTAGTTATTCTGTATATACTTAGACAACTATTCAGAGCTTCTTCAATCTCTAGTAAGTTTGAAGGGAGTATCTGGGAAGACACAGGGCAGGGTGATGTTGAGACCCTGTTCATTCTTAAAAATAGGGATAAGCCAGAGGGATGTGATATCCAATTTGTGGTAGATGAAGAATCAGTGGAAATTCTTAATTGCACAGACTTTATAATTCATTATATAAATTGTAATTCCATACTTTTTACTGTGGCAAGGGTGTGATGTGGTTGTTAAATCTTTTTAATTTTTGAATCCAAACTGAATTTAAAGTGTTGAATACTTAAATTCCTCACAAGCTAATTATGAACCATTTGTAAAGTGTTTCTATAACTCTTTGTATCATGTGTTGGTACATCTTATCAAGTTTTTTCTGGCATGTATTCCATTCTAAACTTCTGTAAAATTTCTATTGTTGCTGTAAATAATTATACAAATATCTACTCCGTGGTAACCTACATTATCAGCATGAAATGGTTAATTTTTACTGAGCACAATGTATTTTTGAATGGATCTTCCCAAATGTCTTTAATAAAATGCAGATTTTGCACTGACTGATGTGACTGCCAGGCCGTCCCAATCTTGAGCACTATGGTCCTTCTTGCATTTGAACAGCGAGCAGCTCGGTTTTAGTTCCTTCTTTGTATATATATATAAAAAAATTTTTTTAAAAAGCATTTGAATTCAAATGAGGGATAATGGGCCTTTGAAGTTGTAATCAGTTTAAGGGAGAGAAATTAATGTAAAGCAAGGCAAATCCTGTTATTTAATGATGTTGATTTTTTTTTTCTTTTCTATTTATAAAGTTCTTTCCCCCTATGGCATTTTGAAAACTTTGGTTTCTTTTACACTTGAGTGTTGTCACTTGTAATGCATTGCTAGAAGCTCACTCGGTGGTTTGAGGAGGATGGGAAGAGATGCCAACCTCGTGCTCAGTGCTGTGGAGAAAGCAAAGATGAACAGCTCCATGAGGGTTTCTTCTCGTGGTAGAGCAGGGGTCAGCAAACTTTTAATGTTAAGGGCCAGATGGTAAATATTGGCCTTGAACATTCTTTTGGTTTTGCCTCTACTCATACTCAACTCTGCCCTTGTAGTGCAAAAGCAGCTATAGGATATGTAAATGAGTGAGCATGGCTGTGTTCAGATAGAATTTTATTTAAAAAAAAAAAAAAAAAAACCAGGCCAGAGTTTATTGACACTTTTGTGGTTTAGGGAAAGAAGACCTACTGAGTCATGCTCAGTCAGAGAAGCAAGAACTTAAATTTTGTGGTAACTTATGTATAAAATATTCTCCAGTTTTATCTTTGTAAACAAAGAGTAGGAGCTAATACTAAGTGCTTTGTATTCTTAGAAAGCACTGTCAAAACAAGCGAATAAAGGCACTGTGTCAACCAGTTCTTTACTCTGTGTCCTTAAGTGGCATGGAAACTGTGGCCTGTGGTTTCAGCTATACTAATACTGTATCAAGTATCTGGGCTTATAATTTTTTTATGTTCATAGCACAGTGCCGTGTGTTATATTGTTACATTTGCTTTAAATAACAACCCAGTGGAGCAGATACTATTATTATCTCCATTTTGTAGGTTTTCATACTTTGTGTTATCTTGCTCAAGGTCACCCAGTTTGGAAGTGGCGCGCCTAGGATTTGAGGCTGAATATGTTAACCATAAGGCCTGTACCCTTAACCACTAGTAAATGGTGCAGCCACTGCATCTCCATGTATAGCACTGACATCAAGTTTAATGGTGGTCCCATTCAGATATCGTTTTCCCTTTAGTAATTCTGGTTTATTCAATTAACTCCAAAGTCCAGATTTTCAAAAACAATTTCCAACATAGATCATGTAAAAATATTTGCCTGGAGGAATTTCAGGTGCAAAAATAAATACAACTTAGTTAAATGAAGGAAAAGGGTAACACATTTGGGAGCTGGGGATGTAGCTCAGTGGTAGAGCACTTACCTGGTGCGTATGAGGCCCTGGGTTCAATTCCCAGCACCCCCAAAATGAAAATGTGGGGGGGGGACTAACACATTTAGAAAAAGCTATTTATATTGATACATAAGTATACTAATTGGAGCAGGTAATAATGAATCCTCATGTCTAATTTTTTTTTTTTTTTCCTGTACTGGGGATTGAACCCAAGGGCCTTTTACCACTGAACTACATTCACAACTCTCTCTTATTTTTTATTTTGAGACAGGTTTTCTCTAAGTTGCTTAGGCCCTTGCTAAGTTGTTGAGGCTATCCTCAAACTTGCCATCTTCCTGTCTCAGCCTCCTGAATCTCTGGGCTTATAAGGGTGTACCACCACACCCAATTTAACATTGTTTTTTTTTTTTTTAATTGTAGATGTACACAGTACTATTTATTTTTATGGGTGCTGAGGATCGAACCCAGTGCCTCACATATGCTGGGAAAGCGCTCTGCCACTGAGCTCTAACTGTAGCCCCAACAATTTATGTACCACCTTCCATCCCATGTCTTGCAGCAGGTCACAAGTGATTTGATTTGGGAATGGAACTTTTCATTGAAGTGGTTCAAAGCCCAGGATCTACAATCAGTTTGCCTGAGTGGAGTCCTGGCTTCATGAACTAAATTTCCCATGACTTTCGGCAAGATAAATGTAGCTTCCCTATGCTTTGGTTTCCTTACCTTTAAATGGAGACAATCATGGTACCTACTTCAGAGGGTTGTTGTGAGCATCTAATGAGATACTACAAAGCACTCTATAGAATTTCAATAAATGCTAGCTATTGTAACATTATTGCTATTATTTGTGTCCCAGTTGGTGAACTGAGAAAGAATGTCACTGGATGGCTGCCAAGCACTTGCGATACATGTATCTTTTTTGATCTTCCTATCAGCCCTCAAAGGTGGTGGTAGCCAAGAAAGGCCAGCTTGGAGCCATTCTTGGGATCACAGGGAAAGCAGCCCTTGTAAGCTGTTGTCAGCAGGCTTCAGCAACCACATCAGTGAACAGAGGCAGGCTTCTGTCGGCATTTGTTCAAAGGCTCACTTTTAAGGGTGCAGTCTTCTTGGCTCTGAGAATAGATTCATACCAGTACCTCTATCTTGAAATACCTTTGCTTTGTCCAAGTAACCTCCTCCCACACCGAGTACTAGAATCAGCTCAGATTTTTTTTCTTAATATTGGCAACACTTAATGCTACTTCTCTGTTCATAACATTTCATTTAATTATTTAAAATCTGCAAAAATGTTGTGTATATTTTACCACATTTTTTTAAAAGTCCCCAAGTGTAGACCACACTCTAGCATTTCTAAAAATAAAAATAAACATGTTAAAATAAAGTAAGAGTGCGTTTTTACTGCATTATGTATTTTTAATTGAAAGTTTCCCCCCACAAAAGAAATGACACTACAAACATATTTCACATGTTTAATAACAAGTTTCTGTTAAGCTTCACATTTCTCTCAATAATAGTTTTATTTTTTTATACATTTTGTCATGAATTTAATGAAGTAAATAATTAGTATGGCTGTTGGGAGCAAATTAACTTCAGGTAAATGTTTTATAGATCTCAGTGTTTCATTGTTTATTAAATTCTGAAGTACTGAGCAGTGTCCAGTGTGAAATCCCATCTGGCTTCTTTGCAGAAATTAAAATTCATATTGAAATTCAAAGAACCCAGAATAGCCAAAACAATCTTGAAGAAGAACAAACTTGGAGGACTCACTCACATGTCCCAATTTTAAAACTTACCAGAAGCTATAGTGATGAAGACAGTGAGGTAATAGGACTGTGAAATAAACCATCCCATTTAAGATCCATTGATTGACAAGGATGCCAAGACCATTCAAAGGGGAAAGGACAGTCTTTTCAACAAATGGGACTGGAACAACTGGATATCTACATTCAGAAGAATGGAGTTAGACCCCTACTTGATACCATGCACAAAAATTAGCTCAAAATGGATCAGAGACTTGAATGTAAAAGGTAGAATTATAGGAGTACTGTTTCATAACCTTGCATTTGGCAATGGTTTCTCAATAACACCAAAAGAACCAGCAAGCAAAAAAATAAGTTGGACTTCATTAAAATTTAAAAATTTATGTGCTTCCAAGGATTCCATCAAGAGAGGAAGAAAAAAACCTAGAGTGGGAGAAATAGTTGGAAGTCCTTATAACTCAATTGTAAGATGATTGTAAAATGAGCAAAGAATCTGAATAGATATTTCTCCAAAGATGTACAAATGGCCAGTAAATGTGAAAAGATACTCAACATCATATCACTAGGGAAAAACAAATCAAAACTACAACGAAACACACCACGTATACTGGGATGGCTATAATGAAAAACAGACAATAAGCGTTGTGAGGATGTGGAGAAATTGGACCCCTCCGACATTGCTAGTGGAAACCGCAAACAGTGCAGACACTTGGGAAAGTAGCTCCTCAAAAAGTTGAACGCAGACTATGACTCAGCAGTTCCACTCCCAGGTTCATACCCAAGATAAATGAAAGCATACATCCACACAAAAATTCACATGCATATGTTCATAGCAGCATTATTCCAAATAGCCAAAAAAATGGAAACAACCCAAAGGTCCATTGAGGGATGATGAATAAATAACAATGTAGTATATCCATACAATGGAATGGTATTCTGCAATAAAAAGGAGTGAAGTACTGATACATACTACAAGGATGAGCTTTCAAAGTACTGCTAAGTGAAAGAAGCCAGTCACAAACTATCACATGTCATATGATTCCATCTCTATGGAAAAATATCTAGTATAGGGAAATCTATATAGAAATAGAAAATGGGGCCAGGTGCAGTGGCACACACCTGTAATTCCAGCAACTTGGGAGGCTGAGGCAGGAGTGCAAGTTCAAGATCAGCCTTAGCAATTTAGCAAGACTCTATCTCAAAAAAAGTGGGAGGGGGGCTGGGGATGTGGCTCAGTGGTTAAGTGCCCCTGAGTTCAATCCCTGGTACAAAAAGAAAAAGAAAAAAAAAAAAAAAAGATACAGAAAATGGGTTAGTAGTTACCTAAAGTTGCTTGTGATGGTTGTACAACTCTGAGTATACTAAAAATCTGAATTACACACTTTAAATGGGTGAGGATTGGATGATATGTTATCTCAATAAAACTATTACAAAACAAAAATTTCCAACATGAGCAATTATTTGAAGAACGTTTACCCATTTGTCACACTATTTTGGTCTTTATTTTTTTCCTAAAGTATATTCTTGCTTGCCTTATGAGTCTGATGATGCCAGTTGTAGAAGCCCTTAACTCTTAAGCTACTGCAATTTTCTTTGACAATCTGTTTATAATTTTCTTATAACTTCATTAGTTCAGTTTTTCAAATAATGGTTTTTGCCAGGCACAATGGCACACACCTATAATCCCAGCAGCTTGGGAGACTGAGGCAGGAGGATCACAGGTGAGGCCAGCCTCAGCAACTTAGTGAGGCCCTAAGCAACTTAATGAAAACTTGTCTCAAAAAAACGAAAAGCCTGGGATGTAGCTCAATGGTAAAGGGCCCCTGGGTTCAATGCCCAGTAACTCCACCCCCCTGCCAATAATAAGGGTCTTTATTCAGCCGCTCTGTCCAAAAGAATGGCTGAATAAAGAATGACCCACCCTACTCCACCAGTGGTCTGTTTATATTTGGGAGAAAACTTAGCAAGAGAAAGCATTTTTCCAGGTATATGGCATGGAGATTAAAAAGATGTTGGCTTGAATATAAAGCTATTCTGAGCCCTAGAACACCAGGGGAGAGATATGGGGCTTTTAGGAACCTGCCTGTTCACAGAACTGAATGTGATGTCCAGGATCATGTTAGAATGAGTCCATTCACTTCCCTTGTTGTTTGAAATTGAAAAATAAGTGAGAAATGACCTGCTAACAGGGGTTACACAGGTCCAGGACATTCTCTGCTTCCCCAATCTCTTTGGAGGGTTCCAAACCCTCTCAGCTCTTACTTTCCATATAGCTCTACCCACCCCCTGACCTCCATGTTACTAGCCTCTTCCAGGGAAGGACCTAGAACTCAGGCTGAGCTACACTGTCTGCCAAATGAGCTCCAGCAAGAGAAAGCCAGGTTCAGGCCTGCTCCTTTCCAAAGAGGTGTCAAATGTCAGGGGCAGGTGTTTTTGGATGGTACAAGGCATAGGTTGGAGGGTGAGAGGCTTCCAGGGTAGAAGCTACATGGTTCTTTTTATATTGGGAGCCCTGGCCACTTCCTATGAAGCATGCAGTTAACAGGTCACCTCCAAGTGACCAGTGATAGCTCCTGGGCCAGCTGTTGTCAAAATGTTTCTTAAAAACTGGTAGGTAGTCTGAGATAAGGAAATTCTGTTGTGTTGGAGTTATCTGGGGTTCCTAAACATAGGAGACCTGCTACTTAAATGATCAGCCTGCCCCATGCATTCATCACAGACTGGAGTAGTTTGCCTGAATGAGTTGCAGAATGGAGCCGTATGTAATGGGAGCTCTGGACCCCTCCCCAATCCCTGTGTTCTTTTTAAATTTTTGGTACTGGGGATTGAACTCAGGGGCACTCAACCACTGAGCCACATCCCCAGCCCTATTTTATATTTTATTTAGAGACAGGGTCTCACTGAGTTGCTTAGCTCCTCACTGTTGCTCAGGCTGGCTTTGAACTCCCAAACCTCCTGTGTCAACCTCCCAAACTGCTGGGATTACAGGCATGTGCCACCAGGCCAAGTTCCCTGTGTTCTTGAAGCTAATACTCTACCCCACCCCACCCCCACAAGGTGAAAACTGAACAGGGAAGCTTTCCTACCTTTCCTATCTTGAACATTTAGTCCTTTGTCATGTACAGGATCTGTTGACCAGGACCATTGTGGGGCATGCCACAGGCTCCCATCTACCTCATTTGTACTGCCACCCAGTCTCCCCCATAACTTCAGGTACCTCTCAAGTCTTCAAGGCTATGGCTGAATGAAAATGTAACTACAAGCCTGCTTCCCTTCAGCATTCAAGCAAAGCTTTACAAAACTGTACATTCC